AGGGGCACGTAGTACGTGTCGAAAGTTAAATTATTTATATAATGTTTATTGTGCGTTGGGCGAAAATCGAATTTTGAATTTTCCATTCGCCATTCCCCATTCATTTCCATTATTCGTCATCCCGCACCGAAATGCAATTTCCACACAGGCATTGCGCATACGCCCCGTTGCACACCGCTGCTGCTGCTGCTGCGGAGCTGTGGCCTCAGTTGCTTGCCTTGCCTCAGCTGCCGCTTATCTTTTGCAAGCGGCTGTCACACGGCTGCAATTAGGCTGACAAGTGATGAAGTGGGGCATGGGGATTTGGAACCGAGGAGAATGGCCGACGGGCCTTCATCCGGCGGGATGTACCATGTACATAGATGTCCCCATCATCATCATGCTCATCCCCATCCCCATTCCCGTCCCCTTGCCCATCGCCACTCATCCTCCACTCATCGCACACTTGTCGCCGAAACGGAAGCGCAGCTCGTTGCTGCTGCTGCTGCTGCTACTGCTGCGTGCAAGTGTCTGAAGATTACTATTACCCACTTGCCAGGCAGCCTGCTTCATGCCACACCACACCCGCAACCGCACTTGCACCCGCACCCGCACCCGCCACACTCTCTCCGTATCTCCCATCCCAGCGGAGGCAGTCTGCATGCATAATAAACAAATCAAATCCTATAAATGTGCAAATTAGCTGTGTGCAACGTCACCGAACCGGCGGCTCTCTACACTGTGCAAGAAAAGCGAATGAATGCCAGAATCTGGAAAATACAAAGTTTGGATATTGGAGAATAGAAGCATCTTGTGTGCATTTTTAGCAGCAACAACTCCCTATGCAATAATTGCAAATTTATCTTTTATATTATTATTATAGGAAACATTACTCATACGAGTAAAAATCTCATTTTTAATCTTATTTTGGGTATCCTACTTTCCCGCAGTGTACAAAATGCAGATGCAGGCGTCATCATTATCATTGCTCCTCTTACACCCCTCTCACATCTCTCTCTATCGCTCTTCCCACATCTCCCTCTCTGTCACCCTCTATCATTTCATGAAAGTGAATGCACTTTTATATGCATGACTGCTAATTACAGCGACAATTTGTCTATCTATCCCCACCCACCCCTTGGGATGTCACCAGTGCTAAGCGCTTTGCTTTTGTTTTAAAAATATTTAGCACGTTTCGGCTTTTGTGATTATGACGCCCGCCGCTTCTCTACTCAGATTTCTTTCCCCTCCTCAGCCTTTTGATAATTTCCATGGGAAACCCCCCAATGATTTGTCATTGTGATTTTGGGATTGCTTTAAATTCCGTGTAAATATTACCGGGCAGAAATTTGGGTAAATCTGAGGAGCTTTTACTCTATTAAAAGAAATGTTTGAGGCACAAATTTCGGGCAGAATAAATTTCTAGAATTTCTTGAATTAAATGATTATAAATCTCAGGAGTTTCCTGCCATATTATCTGACATTATGTATAGGAAAATACCAGAATGGTAATTATCTTTAAGCAATTTGCTTACCATTTTACAACCTGTCATATTTACAATAATTTGTTCGCCTATAAAACTTTTCTTTAAACAATAGTATGCATATGAAAAATTTAACCAAATTAACAATCGAAAAAAACATGAGCTGAGGGGAAACTCCAGACTAATTAGATTTTGTTTTGTTGAGTGTGGAATTTCTCGCATACTCGTATTTATGCAAAAGTCTCTCGCCTCTCTCTCTGGCAATTGTCTTTTTGCCATATTTTTTAATTAACCATCGTGAATGGAAGAGCTAAGCAAATTATTAATAGCCAAATAGATGAGGCGAGAGAAAGGGGGGAGCTCTGGCATTGACTTTTCAATTGAAACAAATCATTATTTGAGCAGCGTGTGGATCGTATTCAATTGGTGCTGGTGCTGGTGCTGGCGCTGGCGCTGGAGGTGCCTGAAGTGGCTGTGGCGGTGGCGCTGGTGGAGCGTGTCAAGAGATCGCGCCCACAGACGCATCCGCATCGGATCGGAACCCATGGGAACCTATGTGCAGATGTGTGGATAGCAGATACATATACATATATGTATGTACAATTGTTATGATCGTGCGCCGAATAATTGGCGTTTTTATGGGCCACTATGTAAATGTAATTAGCAAACAATTTGCATAGACTGTAGTGTGAATAAAAAAAGGCATTAATGCCGGAATACCCCTCCTCTTATGCATGCAAAAAAGAGAGAACTAGTTTCACATCTGCAATGCAATAAACGTGGCATATTTGAAGCAGTTCTTTATTGTGTGAATGGCTATTGAATATTCTGCATGGCTAAAACATTCATTAATTGCTGGTAGAACAAGTTGTAAATGCAAATACTTGGCTGAATAAACGGACATGAATATATCGGAAATGGCACTCACTTTTTCTTAATGATAAATGCCATTTGTTTTATGGTTCGGCTTTCAATTGAGTTCAGTTCTTGCTAATGAAAAGTTATGGGCTTTAGTTAAGGAAACAAATAAATCGCTCATTGATGGTCTGTTGGTTTGTTTGTTGAGATTCCTACCCATCAGATTGAAGCACTCTTTCATTCACTTAAAGCCCTGGCATTCCCTCTGCAGGGATTCCCATAACTCTCACGAGCTATCCGCCACATATCAATCTCTCTCTGTGACAAACATTTCTGGCATTTCTCGCGAAGAGTCGGGAGTTAAATTTGCATATGTCCATGGGCCGGAAGAGATATTCCATGCCATTTAGGTTGCGGGATTTAGCATATGTGGCCAGTGGGCATTGCAGCATCACTCTCTCATCTCCCTCTCACCGGCCCTGTGGTTGTGGCAGTAAAATTCACGCGTGATAAGCAGTTGAGCGCACATTTTCACGCACTTGTAAACAGGGAATAAGCGAAGCGTGTCCGCGAAAAGCCGCAGGCAGGAGAATGGAGTCCAACTCCCACTCCCTGGCAATGGGGAGCGGAGCTGCTGTGTGTGTGTGTGTGGGGGGTGGATGGGAGCCTGGTAGGATAATTCATTATCAATTTTATGGTCCAACCTCTCTCTCTCTCTGGCATATCCTTGGCTGCAGTTGCAGTTGCAGGATTAGCTTTTGGTCAGTGGTGGAGTTTTCCCAAGGAAGGACAGGCTGTTGCGTTACTGCTATTACGTTACTGCTGCTGGCTGGTGGCTGCTGGTGTTTGCTGAAGGTCGTCTCGTTGTCGCTCGTTGTGGGCTCAACGGCTCAATCTCAATGCTATAAACTACGTCGTCGCCGCCATCACCATCACCATCCCCACCCCCCCATTTCCCAACCCGCATGCCCATTCCCAGCGACATTTACCTTCAACTCGCAGCAGCAGCAGCAGCATCAGCATCAGCAGGCGTTGCAGGCCGGTATGTGCAATCTGGTGGCACGCTGAAAATAACGCTAATTGCATTTTGCAGCTGCCAGTCGCTGCCCCTGGTCACACACCAGCTACACCAGCCATCTCTGGGGCATGCCACACATCCTCTTTCATGGATTTGCAGGCCAATAATTGCCGGAGGGCTGCTGCTGATCAAGCAATATTGTCGAATCGACAGGTTGCTGGTTTTTCGGATTAACATAAACTCTCGTACGTTGAATTTAATAGAATTAAAAGCGAAACATTTTAAAGGTGAAATTAATGGCAGGGGCAAATGGGTTTTGACAGTGGAAATTATAGGGAAACATATCAAGGATGTTGTGGGTTTTTATTACTTTTCCTGTCGCGTTTTCCATCCATTTATTGGAGGAAGAAATTAAAGGATATTTTAGCTGGCTTTTGAATAAAGTTACTCAAAGGAAGTGTTCGAGTCTGGTGCTGCTGCTAATCTGCTGCTGCTGCCTCCCAATCACACCACAACACAACACAACAAATTCCCCAAAGTAAATTCCCCATTGACGTGCAGTAAATGGCTTAATTTTGTTTAATTATATGAACAGCTCCGACCAACAGAAAAAGGATTATGCAGCATTTGTGGCGGCTAACTAAAACTAACTAGAAGCCAAAGCCGGGAGTGATTTCGATGCGATTCGATATCGAGAGTGGGGTAAAAGTTTGTTTGTTGCCTACTTTGGGGCATTGATACCTTCGGTAAAGCTTGGGGCTCTGGCACTTGGGACTTCTGCGGCTATATACGAACTCATTCCGTGCCAAATCCCAGACAAAGCCAATGCGCTACAAAAGCCTCTGGCTGGTCGTCCGGCCACAAAAGAAAAGGCCAACAGAGCACAGAGAATAGAGAGGGCAAGGGCGAGGGGAGTAGAGAGGAGAGGGACATGCGATAGGAATGAAATCGAATCGCAGAAAAAAAAAGTTCAACTAGCAAAAGGACACGAATATCCCCACAGCCAGAGCCACAGGCCACAGCTACAGCTACAGGCGCCCATCCCCAAGCAATTACATTAAATCTTGGCTATTATTCTTTTACTTTGTAGAGTTCTCTGTGTTCTGCACACAACTTTTGCGGCCCGCACCCGCTCCCAAGCCCTCTAGCCACTGCCTCTCTGTAGTTAATCGCCTCCAACGTGATTGAATTCCATCGAACGCAGGTTGACCAATGACCGGACCAGGCATTGGCATGGGCAGGGGACTCAGTTCTAATAAATGAAATAGACCCGCTTGACTTGACTGCATCTGACTCTGGCTCGGCTCCTGCCTTGCTCCTGCGTTCGTCCTTTGGCTGTTTCTGAGAGGCTGCTGGCTGTTTGACCCCGGGACTGGGTTTATGGCCAGTCACTGACCACTTAACTAATTGCTCCTTTGTGTGCCACTGACACGGGCAATAAAATTAATTCTCATACGGACATGTTGCTCCCTGCTCCCAGTGAGGAGTGGTTTTGGTGGCATCTATCAAGTCAATTATTTGCATGTTTCACTCTCAATCTTTGGTTGGATGCAGATTGGAGTTCCTGCTAGAAGTTGGAGAGAATATTTGATACCCAATAGGGAAATTCTTTTGCACTCCATTATCTAATTTACCTTCTCTTCTATCTCTTCTTTTTCCAGTTCCTGTGTGCATCATGCACAACACCGGCAAACCGTCCCTTACACCCACCACCACCACCGGCACCGCCTCACCGCCCACACAGCAGCAGCAGCAACAGCAACAGCAGCAGCAGGGTACAAGGCCACAGTCGCCGTCCCCTGGGCGGCATCAGGATGAGGACGAGACCGATGTGATTGGCGATTTGATGGGACACTATGGCAAGTGGCAGCTGCTGATGACGGTGCTGCTGTCACTGTTCCAAGTGCCCAACACCTTTCACATATCCTCATCGGTGTATCAGGCGGCCAACAAGGACTTTTGGTGCCAGCGGCCGCCGCAATATCCGCAGATGCCCGTCGCTGAGTGGCGCAACCTGAGCGGCTCCACCGACAACTGTCATCGCTTTGAGAGCATGGGCTGGAGTAGCCTGGGGAATGCGACAACGCTAGAGGTGCTAGAGGTGAGTGAATGCTCCAAGACAAGTCCCAAAAGAAGAAGGTCTCACTGTCTCTCTTTCAGGCAGCGGAAGATGCCGCTGCCGAGGGCAAACTGGTGGCCTGCGAGCGATGGGAGTACGCGACGCATGATAATGTCGGGAACACCTGGACATCGCAGTGGGATCTGGTGTGCGACAAGGAGCACATGAAGAACGTGGCCGAGATGTTCTTCCTGCTGGGCGTGGCAACAGGTGGCATCATATCCGGCTATCTATCGGACAAGTTTGGCCGCAAGACAATGCTCTTCATATCGGCCATCCTGCAGACCATATTCGGTGAGCATCATCCCCATCCCATCCGCTCTCTCTCTCACGCTCTCTCTATGCACATTGTGGCCTTTAAAGGCCACACACTCACCTTCAACGTGTCATCATGACATTGGCCATGGCTGAGAGTCTCGTCCCCCCAGCTGACTGTGAACTTGGACGTGTCTGGGGGTCAGCACGACAGCGAGTGGCACTCAGGATAGGGGACGGGTTGGGTTGGGTTGCGACGGGACGGACTCTCGAGCTGCAGTTGTGGCTGCTGCCGCAAGCAAGCCCTGTTGTCCTTGTTGATTAAATCTCTCTCGTACAATGTAATTGGAATTTGCATTCAAAAGGACATTACTAATGAGGAATTGGACGCCACACGTGTGTGTGTGGACGCTGATGCGGAAGCGAATGCTGCAATGCATTCTCTCTTGAAGCAAGGTTCATGGTTGATTGGAAAGCGTTAATGAAGGTGCTTCCCTGACTCGAACATTGATTAGTGAAATCAGCAGGGAAAATGCCCATAATTGTGGGTTTGGGAAGAGAAAATCCTATCGAAACGGAAAACATGGATGTTACTCACATAAATATATATCTCCCACTCTCTGCTTCTATCCACAGGTCTCTGCTTGTACTTTTGCAGCTCCTTTGAACTCTATCTAACGCTGCGTGCCCTGCTCGGTCTGGTGTCCGTTTCGGTGACCTATTCGGCCCTCATTTTGGCCATCGAGTATGTGGATGGCAAGTGGCGGACCATCGCTGGCATGTACAATCTCTTTCCACTGCCAATCTCCTACATGATCATCTCCGGCCTGGCCTATCTCACGCAAGACTACCAGGCCCTGCAGCTGTGCATCGGTTTGCCGGGGATCTTCCTCTGTTTTCTATGGTAAGAATTTCCGCATCCATTTGGAAGGTAAACAAACATCTCGTGGCGAGTGTAAATTGCCATGAAATCTCCCAGCCCAGCCAGCATGAATCTTTATGTACGAGTCTATGCACGCGGTATATAGATCAGATCAGAGACTGCCGCATAAATAACAAAAACAGCGCGTGGGTGTCCGAGACGGAGGAGACTCTTCCGCGACGGCACATGTTTTCCCAGCTAATTTATTTGATTTTTTTTTGTTTGCTTGCTCTCTGTTTTTGGTGTCTGGTCTCTGTAGGTTCGTGGTACCGGAATCGCCACGCTGGCTGCTGGTCAAGGGTCGCGTCGATGAGGTACGCCGCATCATTGAGGCAGCCGCCAAATTCAATGGACGCCAACTGCCAGTGGACTATCAGCTGACGCCGCCGACGCAGGAGAGCAGCTCCCAGAATATAACGCATCTGTTCCGCTCCAGCTATCTGCGGCGCATCACCATCTGCTTCCTGTGCATCTGGTTCACCATGAATCTGGTCTACTATGGCATTATCCTCAACATGAGCTCCTTTGGGGGCAATGTCTACTTGAATTCGGTGAGTCTGTTCTGCCCGCGCCTTAATTTGCATCAAGTATCCGCCGCGTGGCACATCCACTTAGGATTGCGAATGGATGGAACATTTCATCTGATCAATCAAGCAATCATTTAGCCAGGCCAGTGCTAAGTGCCCCCACTCGTCACAGATTGGGCGTCCGTCAGCCGATGATGATGAAGTCCGCCTAATTGGATTTGTCAGCTATTCCATCAGCAGCACCGCGGAACGCGGATTGTCTGTGGCATGTCAAAAATTCTGCTCGCTTGTACGGGGTGTGAAAATGTGTTTGCAATCGAATTATGATGTTGCTTGCCCACATACGCCCACCACCTCTCCACGCCATTCTACTCTCCATGGACAAATCCCCCATAGACACCACCCACCACAGCCATCTTATGGGAGTCGTCGAGCCGTCGGGTCGGGTCCGGTCCGTTTTTTGGGGTCTCATCTTTGATGCTGGCAGGGGGCCAGCAGAATGTCCGGGGCTTGCCGGCGTGTTGTAGTGCTGAGAGGAGAGGCCTTGGATTAGCGGGCCGGCCGCACAAAATATACAGAATATAAACATGTTTGGCATTTGGTTTTCGGTTTTCGGGGGATTTTTCGATTGTTATAAAATGTTTAAGGGATTAATGGGGGCTTTGAGAGATGAAAGGAATATTGACTGTAGAAACGTGCTATACGGATAAAGAATTTCTCTTTGATATTTCAGATTTTTAAGAGCAGAAAGGAACTCTAAAGAGAGTCCCACAGGGTGGAATCCCATCGATCTATAGTCCGATTATAAAAAGTTTAAGGGATTTATTTAAGCATTTTTTACAGAAATCCCACTTCAAAGAACCATTCCCCGCTTCCATAGTTTTCCCTACTTTCCCAGCCATTTGCTCATCACTGTAGGAAAATCCGACAATGGGCATGGCATGTCAGCGGATGGAGGCGGAGGAGCTTTTCAGCTAATTTATTGCATAATTTATTTTGACATTTGCGTGGCGCACCTTTGATGCCGCACTGATTTAGTGCGCCCCGACGACACTTGACAACTTTTTGCTCACTTCAGTTCCCCGCTCTCTCCCCCGTCTCCCCTCAAATGTTTCTCTAGGCACTAGCTGGCCTAGTCGAAATACCCGCCATCGCTGTGGCCATGTACATCATCACGAAGGTGGGCAAGAAGTGGCTCTTCTGTGCCACTTTGTTCTGTGCCGGCGTGGCCTGCTTCTGTGCCACCATCACAGAGGGGCGCGAGGATATACTCTGGCTGAAGATCACATTCCTGATGATGGGCAAGTTCACGATCAGCGCCGGGAACACCATCATGCCGGTCTACACCGCCGAACTGTATCCCACGGCCATACGCAACGTCGGAGTGGGCGCCTGCAATGTGGCCGCTGGATTGGCCCTGATCCTGACACCCTATATATCGCTGCTGGCAAGTCAAAGAACCCCAAAAATATCCTTGATGCTATTTCATTTCTTGATTCTCTCATTCATGATTCAGAACAAAATCGAGGGCCATTTGCTGATGGCTCTGCTCACCGCCTGGAGCATCTTTGGTGGCTTTGTGGTGCTCTTTCTGCCCGCGACGGCTGTGCGACGGAATGCTGCAAATTCTGGCACGGGGGGTGGCGTGAATGCTGCCAGTGCTGCCAAGCAGGTGTAATAATCGTTGCTGCCTGCCCAGCCTCTCTGCCCTGTCCTGCCCTGCCTCTGCCTCTGCCCCGCCCTGAAGAACAATATATATTTTGGCTGGTCCAAAGTATGAGCTGATGATGAGATGAAGAGCCCAGCCACGCGCCTGGAACCTGTAAACGAGTCGACATATCCACCGCCTCAAGCCACCTCCACCAACAGATCCCACAGATGAATAGATAAACCAAATCGAGTTGACACGCAATTATTAATGGTAATCGAGCAATCGAATGTCCAGATCTATGCCAATTTATAGAACGCTAGAACACATGTCACATGTCAGGCAGGACCTTGTTTTTGCGTAGCGTAGCACGTAGTGAGTATCTTAACAATTAACATAAACACAACTAAAGCGTAATGCAACAATGGCTTATAGCTTATGTCATAGTCTCTAAGTAACGCAACAAAATGAACACACAGCCCACAAACAGCAGCAGCAGCCGAAGTACCCTGCAAAATCTGTAAAAGATTCAGATCAGATTCAGAGCTCAAAACGCAGCTTCGGTTTAAATCGAAGGCAAGGAATTTGTACACAATGTTCGGGGAGTGCTTGAGGAGACAAAAAATGTCTGATAGATGTGCAGAACTTTCATTGCAAAAGAAATACTCGGTGGGATATAGCCCAGGCCTCTGCTCTGCCCTGGAACTCTGTGTAATTGTTCAATCTTTTTGAGTAAATCACAATAGAATATCTTGTTGAATTAATGCATGTACGTGTGCAAGTATTGCTAATTAATTAATTAATTAATTACAAACACACAGAAATTATATGTCTTGTCAATATGTCTCAACGTACACATAATCTTGTCGTTGTCGTTGTTGTCGTTGTCGTCGTCGTCGTCGTCTTCTTGTTGTCTATTAATAAAATGTTTTCCAAACGCGAGATCAATTAGTAAAGTGAAGAGAAGTGGAAAAGAAGAGAAGAGGCTAAATAAATCTTCGTGAATCAAAAAGAACAGAATTGTAATCTCTAGTAATTGTAGTCAATTAATGCTTAGTCCTATCCGTACTATACCATACTTTATATGTACCACTATAAAGCAGATCAGTCGTCACTAGGTATCGGTCAATTATATGGATTTGTATATAGTACAGGTACATCTACAGGTACATCTACAGGTGTGTATGTGTCCTGGAAAAAATGTGCCCCCAGGACGAGAAGTTTTATTGTTTAAAGTCCGCAAAACAAAAAAATGAAAACAGAACAACAAAATTTCCAATATTAAATGCATTTAACAATTAATATATATGTACATACATACATACATATATGTGTATATACATATAGTAAAATGAATCTGTTGAATCGCTTGTTGTACTTATCTTGTATCTTAAATGAATTGTTATACTCATTTCTACACTTTACTCGTACTATATTTTGTATTGTATTATTTTACATAGTTTATGCTTAATGTTTTTGTTGTCTACTGTACTTACGATTTAAGATCCAAAATCCAGCTGAGAAGTAAATGGAATACCCGAGAATCAATTAATTGTTAATTTTTAGGGTGCCAGAAGAGTTTGAATAAAAATATACATACATCCATACATCCATATATGAAAATTGTTGCTAAATCAAAAATTACCAAAAGCAAAACCAAAACCAAAGCTAAGAAAATGCAATTATAGTGTCAAAAGGAAATATAATAAATATATGAATAAATAAAAATTAAAAAGAACGGAGAGGCAAGGTCTCTCACTCGCATAGATGGGCAGGGGGACTGCAAATAAAAATCCAACAAATCCCAAAAATACATGAATAATGCCCATCGTGTCACGATCCATGCCCCACCTCTACATTCAAGCAAAAGCTTCAGCTTCAGGGGGAGGGAGCTTTACGTGCAGCTTTTTCTTACCTGTACCGTACGCTCGTAGCTTACGCTGCTGCTGCCGCTGCAGCTGCTTATAACAGAGCCGCGCGAACTTTTAACGGATTTAGATCGACGCCAACAGCTGAGCGACAAAAACCGATCCTATCTATCGTCGACGCTTTCCCGAGTTTCCCAATCGATCAGCCAGTGAAGCAGCGAAGAGTTAGCCAAAGAGTTTCGGTACAAATACTCGTATTTGATAGAGTGGAGTGACCAATATGAGTGGTGTGCTGCGTCGCGGTTCCTTGAGTTTCGATTTGAACAAGGGCAGGGGCAACATCGAGGCGAACCTCTATGGCGGCTATCGCGAGACAAAGCCAGCGCCTGGCACACCGGAAATCAGTGTCATAGCATTGGACTTTCGCCGCTACTCGGATGACTTGAAGAAGGTGGTACCAGCACCCTTCACCCCTGGTGCGCCCCAGCAGGATCCAAGGCAGATCCCAGACCTCAGCCAGGATGTGGACAGTGATGTGATATCGAACTTCCTGGGCCACTACACCAGATGGAGTTTCTTTTGGACCTTTCTGCTCTGCATATTCCAGCTGCCCATCACATTTCAGCTGTTCATGTTCGTTTTTCAGGTGAGTTTGCTGTCTCGGTTTTCGGTTTCAGTTTCGGTTCTATGGCCAAATATTTGCCCAGTTGATTGAGTCGCCAGAAAATCAAATACCGCCCCTCGCACTCTCCCCACGCCTCGGATTGGGGCCAGCACGGGGCTTAGACCGGAAGAAAACATTGAGTAATTGATTGAGGGATTGGAAAGTGTGCGGTGCGAGTGATTTGCAGTAATATTTGTAGCCATATTCGAGCTAATTGGCTGCCCAGTGGCAATGTATCCCCCATGGCGTTAAAAATTGGAGCATAAATTGTCGTAGAGATTGTTTAACTGGTTACAGCAATTGCAAACTCTTATCAACGACTCAGTTGTTGACCAGCATTCAGTGGAAAATATTTCACGGCCTCTCCCCCAAAAACAATTGATAAGCAGCAGCAGCAACAGCAGCAGCACTTGAGAAATGTGTCAATTTGGGCAGCATTTTGGCAAGTACTTCAAACACACTTACCACCTGGTTTTCAAGCGTGAATAACTGTGTGTTTGTGTGTGTTTGTCCCACTCGTAATGCTCTCGACCTTCGTGCACCTTTTGACCAGCCATTGAGGCTATGCTACGCATCTCCATCATTTGCATTTGACGAGCCATTTATCAGTGTGATGGGCTTGGGGTGGGGTGGGGGATGCAGTTGCGTGCGCGCATCATTTTGCTGCCTGCCTCAATTGCGCGCTTCGAGTGCACGCCAATCGATAATAATGAATGATAATCATCATCGAGTAGCGTGCTAATGGGCCGCCCCAAACAAAACAAAAAACCGCACACCACCTTGACACACACGGAATCACAGAGAGGGTAATAGATAAGTCGAGGGATTGGATTCGCTGCAAATTGCAACAGAGTCAATCAAGAAGCCAAGAAGTCATTTGCCCGACGATGATCATAGTAATTGGCAGCTAATAAAGTGGGGTATTGGTCATGGGCGGTTCCTCGATCATTATCCATCAAAGAGATGGAAGATTGCGTGGCTTTCAAATCAGTTTATGGGCCAATTGTCATTGAAGCATAGGGAAATAGACCCAGACAGTAGACCCAATCTTATCTGCTTAATTGTTTCAGATATTATTGATTTGACGGCCTTGATTTTGCTCTAAAATAGATTGTAATTCCATAATTGAATTCAAGTAATGTTGCAGGAATTTAATCTGATGAAAATCTCACTTGATATTGCACATACGTTAGACAAATGATAAGATATTCTACTGCGTATCTGTATCAGAGATTCGCAGAACTATAAAAGGTATCGTTCCAATAGAGATATCTCTGTCATTCGAGTTGTAGTTTCAGTGAGTGGAGCAGCCGCAGCAGCCTTGAGGTAGGAGTAGGTCAAGGCACTCCCTAAAAAAAGGTCATCAAAGTGATTCTTTAATGATTCATTTAGCCCAAAAGTTAACACGTACTTTGGCGTAATCAGACAAGTACCCATCTGGCCACTTGTTGGGCCATTATCACAGAGTAGCCCCCTTTTGGAATCTGAATAAACGCCGCGCCTGCGTAAAGCCGAGACTCTCGTGTGTGTGCGGCTGAGAGTCACCAGTCGACACCTCACAGCCGAAAACTTGCATTTGAATATTGGCATTTTGTGGAATATATTTTGCAAGTCCACATTCTAATTCAGTTGACTTGCATCACAAGTCGCAAACGGTTGCAATTATCCGCGAGATTCGAATGGAACTAACAGAGCTGCCACCAGGCGAGGCCTCGCCCATGTTGCAGCCTCGCCTGCCCAGAGATTTGGAGGAGCTGGACCAGCTGCAGACGACATTGCTGGAGCGGTTGTTCGGTGAAATGAGCCACTGGCAGGGGCAGTGGTGCTGTCTGCTCTCGATCTTCCAGGCCATCTGCACATTTCACATATTCATCTATGTGTTCCAGGTGAGTCGCCGCATTGAGTTGATTCGACTGATCGAATCGGATCGGCCTTAGACAACCAGCTGGTGCAGCAAGCACCTGCTGTGTGCTGCAGTCTAGGTCTTGGTATTGGGCAGCTTTCTGCAGTCGTTGCGCTCCAACGGTTGCATGTGGCCCATCATCATTGACAGAGTCGCCGCAATGACAACGACAACTTCAACTAAACTCAAGCACAAATGACGACGAGGCTTTTGTCTAACCAATGCCAGTTATCAGCTATTGTCTCGTACTTGTAGTACTTCTGATAACATTCGGGAGGGTGTACGAGTATGTGCCGAATGCGAGTAATTGCCAGTCGGACAGACGCACAAACCTGTTGCTTGTTTTTTTGCATTCTTTTGAAAGATTGCGGCACCTACTACTGTATGCGTGTGTGCGTGTTTGTGTGAAGACACTCGCACATTTTTATCAGTGAAAGATACAATTTCATTAAGCAAAGTTCAGGCAAGGAATTTCGGCAGAACCTGTTCCATTTTGAATTTGTTTAGTCCATTGCTCTTACCCCCTAGAACTCTGAAACTGCAGCAGTTTTAGCACTAAAAGTCTGTCCAACTAAAGCTCTAGTTCTCTAGCACTAAGCCAACCTCAGTGTGGGTACAAATACCCCCTTCTAAAGAGTATCCCAATGTTCCAGCTTAATTGTGTGCACTTTTTGCTTAATTATTGACACACAAAATTAAAGCAGAGTGTGGAGTAATAACAAATATATGAACTGGCTTTCAGGCAAAACGTGTTTTTGCTTTTGTGAATAATCTTATATATATTTATATTCAAAGCCATAAATTGCACACTCTGCAAGCCGGCAGATGACATCTTTATGCTCTAGAAGTCATGCCAATAAGATTTCCCACAAGTCTGGCCGTGTTTGGTGGCAAGAGCAAGAGTTTTCAATTAGCTGTCTGCCACTCTGCCACCTCCACTCCCATGCCACACTCTGATCCATATCAGGTGTTGCTTGAGTCTTGGCGCGGCTCTGTGTGTGCCCCAGCCAAGGTTGAGACTGGAAAGGTTACGCTCGGACTCGGACTCCGATTCGTACTCGTACCTGAGGCTAATATTGACCGCTAAACTGTCTAAATATATTAATTAAACAATAATAATAATAAAATGCAAACACACTGGCGAGTATAGAAACTCAGAGAGGGGCCCACTGTCAGGGAGGGGCGGCACGGAACGGCACGGCACACTGGTTGCAGCGAAACGAAATCGGAATTGGATTTTAATACTTTCCCACCTGAGGGGTCAAGCGAGGTGGCCCTGTAACAATTAAGTTAACGATTAGCCATCAGCCATTCAAATATTGAGAAAATTTAACTATAAGCAATCAATCGATTGGTTCAAGTGCTCAGAATAAAAGCAGAGAGAGAGAGAGTGACGTCTTTTTTTCTCTGGAATCCCAGACAGGAAACTTCTACCACTGACAACTGCAACATTCTTTCAGCAATCGAAGCAGCGGCCGCCACCGCACATTCAATGCAAATTGGCACCCATGACGGATACTTAATTTCCAATCACAAAACAATACTCGCAGATCATGTATTGTCACAGAAACAATAGTTAATCGTTGGATAATTAAGCCAAGATTTGCATAGCGCCTTAAGGTTCTTGACCCAATGAGTAATAGCACAGTCTCCGAGTCACCCTTCGATACTCAAAGCCCACCCCTTTTAAAGTGCAATAAAAGCAGGGACTTACATCAGTAAGAGTTCATCGGGCCCAGTGTGCCTCCACGCCTGTCATTAGAATAAAGTGCAATCAGGTGCAACTCGTGCATATCTGCAAACCAATTTATCAAAAAACAAAATAAAATACTCGTAGTTAGAAAAAACCTCTCTATGTGGTTCTGCGGACAAGTGAAACCCACGCTGCGGACGCAGAATGAATTCCATTGTTGCACGAGTGCATTCGTATGTTGTACGCCATGCAAATGCCTGAAACGTGACAGCTGGCAACCGACAGCGAGAGAGGCAGAGAGAAACGAGTGCCACAGCGGCCACAAACCACGCGGCAAATGACATCAGAGACTGAGCCTGGGCCTGAGCCTGCCACGCGATCAACAGTTGCCGATGTGCCCATAAACCACCAAAGAACATTCACTTTCACCTCACAGGAAAAGAGAGAGAGCTCTCGAATGCATTATTGAACATGTTTTCTGTTTTTACCTCTCCCGGCACTTTAACTTGAACTTGAAACAATTTCCTCACCAGCTTACAGCATACTAAATGTTTAATTGAGGAGCGTTTCCACAGTCCGGGGCGGTGGCAGGGGCAGGGGTAGGGCCTTCGACCTGTTTCGAGGTTTGCCTAACACCGGAACGAGTGAGTGAGTGATGTGGAGTGAATTAATTGAGTGAGAGTCCCTTGAGGAGCAGTGAATAACCTCCATGAAGGTACCGAATACCTGCACCAGTACCTCCCTTGATAAGCCGCTTACATTGATTCGATCTTCAATCAGGCACAACCGCACAACACTTCTCCTTTGAGTATCTTTTTTTTACACTTTTGCGGTTTGTTAGGCTGTCACGAAACATGCTCGTAAATGAAATGATTAATTGAGCTTTAAAAACTAACTACGGAAGAAATTTAAACAATTTACACGCAACAGAGACGCGTACTTTGCTTTTCTCCCATTCGATTTATGGCATTTGCCAAACATAAAAACTTGTTATTCGAACTTTGATTGGGGATTCGGATTGGGACTGGGATTGGGACTGGGATTGGGATTAATGTCTGATGTAGTTCACGTAGTAATTGCAAACGTGTATCGATTGCTCAAGTGTTTGAAAATTTTGGTATTCTCTTTGACAACTTGCGGCTGAAATTCTGCGAAAAGGTCTACAAAAGATATATCTGCGAAAAGGTCTACAAAAGATATATAGGCTTTAAGTTGGATTTTTATGGATCTGAACTGTAGAACTGTAGAAGAGAACTCTCTGACAGAGTTTTGTTGAGTTATTGCATTGAGATAATTTTAACATTTTTACTTTTAAAAAGTTAATGAGCTTTATGAATTTATTAGGCAACAAAATAGTTAGAGATAGTCAGAGAAAAGCAAGAGACTGAGTCATACTGTTCTTACATTTGAGAGACTATAGAGAGTCCACTACTATAACCCATTTCCTATACCTTTAACCCCATAGACGGCGCCCAAAGAGTTTTGGTGTGCCCAGCCAGCAAATCTCAACCAAATGGATCCCCTGGAATGGCGTAAACTCAGTCAGACACCCGATGGTTGCCTCCTGCTGGACCTGGACTACTCCCAACTGATCGTCGAAGATGGCCAGCTGACAAATTGGCCCACGAATGCCAGCGAACTGGGCTACAGGCAGTGTCAGAACTTCGAGTTTTTCGACAATGAAGCCCTGACACTGGTGCAGGAGTTCGAGCTGGTCTGCGGCCGGGATATCCTCAGCCTGGTGGAGACCTGCTTCCTGGTGGGCGCTGCAGCCGGCGCCGTGCTCAGTGGCTGGATTTCGGATCGTTTTGGGAGGCGGCACACCCTAATGGCATTCGTTACCGTCCAGGCCGTTTTCGGTGAGTGCAATGCATGGCTGATGGACCCTGATGGTCCCCGGATTTTGATTTAGATTTGGATTCTGTATGGGCCATGGCAATTTGGGTTTTTTGGGGATTCATTTTCTAATTGTCATTTATATGCAGCAAGGGATGCTTTCGTCCTGCTCCTGCTCCTGCGGATGAGTGAGCAGAATGTGCATTTGCATTTGTCCTGTGCGCTCTCTGTCTCTGTGGCATGTTCTGGTGTCTGGGTTGGGATTTTAATTGACTTTACACTCTTATTTACGTGCCTGACCTTGCCACTGACATTCTCGCTTCCTTGCCTCTGCCACATCTCTCTCTGTATGTGTGTGTGTATGTGGGTGTGTTGCAGGTGGAATTTTGGCCTTCTCAACATCGGTGGCCATGTTCATGTCGCTACGTGTTATAATTGGATTCGCATCAATGACCGTGACTGTTGTGAGCTTCGTGCTGGTGGTGGAGCTGGTCTCCGGCAAGTGGCGGACCATAATCGGTATTCTCAACATTCTGCCCGTTGCCATTACCTACGTCCTGTCCTCAGGGTTGGCCTATATCATACGCGACTGGCGCATCCTACAGCAGGTCATCTCCTGGCCCTGGCTAATTATGCTTATTATGTGGTAAGTGGATTTAATTATGTGCCGATTAAGTGCGAAATTTAGCAAGAAAGAGTGGAAAGAAAAGTCATACCTTAGAAGCCATCGAGATTTATAGCCAAAAGATGAGTCATAGATGAAAATATTACTACAGCAATGAGAGGGAACAATCAATCAACAAAAATTATAGCTCAAGTCAGATAAATTCAGCTATATCCAAGATACTTTCCCCTAGAAAACCCACAAATGTGTCCAGCTTCCACTTAAGTTTCCATTCAACCTGCAGGTCCTTTTTATTCCTTTCGAATGGCTTACCTTCTGCCACCCACACTGCGACTTCAAAGCGTTCAGTCACATTCTTTGCAGGCAGTCAACAAAATGAATTGACAACAGCACGAAGCAGAAACAGTAAAGAATCCCACACAATGCGTGGCATCAATTAGATTCCCAAGGGACAAAGCATATCCTTGGACATTCCTCAGTGTTTACACACAGGAGCAGCCCCAGGGGCAGCAGCCCCTTTGGGGATTAGCCACACATTAGCCACTGGGTAGCCAGGATTTCAATTGCAATCAAATGAAAAACATTCCACAATGCCAATAAATACGCTACGCGGGGGGCCCTGACACTGATGCCGTTTCTTGTTCGCTTCTTCGCCTTTTTAGGTTCTGGCTGCCGGAGTCGCCGCGTTGGCTGCTGGCCCAGGGCCGCCTGGATGAACTCTGCGAATTAATTGAGCGAGCGGCCAAAATGAATGGCACCAGCGGCACGCTGCCACACAACTATCGCAAGACCCTGGAGGCAGCAGTGCCACGGGCGGTCCAGCCCCAACCAGGGGCCAAAAGCGAGGAGGTGCAGGATGCCAGTACAAGTGCCACCCAAATGGATTCGTTGGAGACCCAACAGAGCGGCCCTGTGAACCCCCTGCTGGTGGTGTTCAGCGGAATGTACCTGCGCACCACCTGCCTGACGCTGATCATCTGGCTCACCCTGATTATCATCTACTTCGGATTGACCCTGCACCTGAGCAACCTCGGTGGCAACATCTACATAAACAATGCCGTGGCTGGCACCATCGAGGCCCTGTCCATCTGCACCAGCATCCTAGTGGTGCTCAAGGCGGGCATACGCAGGAGTCTCATCGGTTACATGCTGCTGACGGGTCTCTGCTGCCTCGCTACGAATCTGGTGCCCAGCCAGACGGGTGTGATAGCCCTGGCCATCATAGGTGAGTCTCATCCCACCTTTCCAAGGGCATACAGCTAATCCTTCTACTGCTCCCCGTGCAGCCAAGTGTCTGATTGGTGCGAACAATGCCATCATTCCCACCTACACGGCCATGCAGTATCCCACAATTGTGCGCAACTTTGGCGTCGGAATGGGCAACCTAGCCGCTGGCATTGCTCTTATCCTAGTGCCCTTCCTCTGGCAATTGGTGGGTACTCCTCCTTCCTCTCTTCCCACCCATAGTTATCATCACCGTTTTGCTTGCCCTTCCAGGAACACATTAACGCCCTGCTGCCGTTGAATGTTATGGGAGTTTGTGGCCTCATCGGTGCCTTTGCCCTTTGCCTGACGAAGGATGTGAATTAGCTGGAATCTGGCATCTTAACTCTCCCGTTTTGACATGTCTAACTGTGATATATTGAAACCACACACACACACACATATATGGGGATAGCTCCCGCACTTAAAAGTTTTTCCCATTCAACACTAAACTAAGCTAAGTTTTTATATTTTTGTTTTTTATTTATATTTCTAATGAATTAAATATGCTGAATTTATTTTAAAGATAACAAAGAAATGTTTCATTAATTATGATTTTTGGGAAATACAAAAATATGTCTGTTTTTAATAAAAAAAAGAAATAATTAAATGAACTAAACTAAGGCAGAAAAAAAACAGAGAACAGATAACAGATAGTCAAGTTTCCAGCCGAAAGCAAGGTTGAAAACTTAGCTAACTTAACAGTGGTTTCCGACTCTGCTAACTCCATAGCTTGGGCTTTAAGTTTCAAGCCGACAACAAAGCTCAAATTCCGCAAAAGCTCAGCTTGGAGCAGCGCTGCCAGCTGTCTGAATTTTCGTGGGCATACGCCATACAACACGCGGTAAAAGTAATTTAAAATCTAAATCACGTTCCACGGAGCTGACAGACAAAAGCGATTCTCATGTGCCAAAATCCATTCACCTTCACTTTCCCATTACTTCATCGAGAGATGCGATGCGCTAACCGGAGCTAATTGTGCAGACGCACTACTTTCGGCATTTCATACACCACACCACACACGCCTCACATAAATTTTCCCGCAAAGCTCCGCTTGCAGCCATGCCGAGCCGCCTATAAAGCCGCCTGCACACCTGGTGCGCCCAGCATTTGAGCGTTCAACGGTTGGCCAAAAAGTAACTACTCCGGCGCCCTGCCCTGCGGTTAAATCTGTTCTGTCTTTCAGTGTTAAGAGTGTTTGAGTTATTTATTTCCGGAAGTGTGTTGCCATTTGGATAGAGAAAGAGTCGCACACATTCATCATGCAACTGCAACTAATTGCGGTAAGTTCTCCCAGCCAGGATGCCAAGTGCCACAGTTCTTTGTCATAGAAGTTATGCGTGTGAATCATTCAACATGCAACATGTCTCTGTACTCCACTCCGGACAAGGTCGTTTGGTTAGCAGCTTAAGATCGCCATTCAATCGCTGATTGAGTCGCCGATTGAGACATATTCAGCTTAGTCGTACGCTCGTACGCTCGTACGCTCGTTCGCTAGATCACTTGTTCATTGTATATTTGCATTTTCTAGAAAGTCCCTCAATGTCTGGCTCAATGCAATGGCAGGCAATTAGCAATTAACTCTCGGCAATTGACATTTCATTTCGTTTTGGAATCATAAAAATACCTATAGATCGCATCATAAATATGCGATACAATCGCTTCATCGATTGTTACCTGTTTCGCTGTGTGGCCCAAGAATTCCGTTTGGGGAATTGAATTGCTCAACCAAGCCCTCGGGTCACCTATTTTAACGAGCGTTTGTTTGGGCCTCAAACTCAAAGCCTCGCCCTCCCTCTGCAAGTCACCCCATAATCAGCTCTCAAAATTGAGCCACAATTGGCTTAAGTTCAATTTGCTGTATACTCCAAAAAATTATCAAAGGCTTAAATTTGCTACTGAGCTGCGGCGCTGACAAATTGTCAATTAATTGTTAAGACTTGAGGCATAATAATTTTCGAAATTAATTGGCAAAAAAAGGGTCTTAAATAGATAAAAAATCTGTATATTTTTGGGCTAAATGTAAACATATCTTTACATTTACATATGCCAGGATATTTGTATGCATGTTTTTTTTTTGTCCAAAGATCCCTAATAATAGGTCCTAAGAATATCCAAGATCTTTCTATCAGAATTGCCCATATCATATATCCATTCTATAGTTTCCAACACCCTTGCCAGAAATCTGGAAAAACCCATTAATCAGCGTTGCTAATAAGATTTTTCATGCCATTGATTGATTGATTTGTGGCTTGGCCAAATTGTGGATATGGCCTAATGAGTTTGCCAAATGTTGGTCGAAACGAAACAAAATGAAATGAAATGAAATGATAATCACAAGAAACACTCAATTTGCCGGTAATTTTTGGAGAGCACGACAAATCATTGTGTGGCTGTGGCTGTTGGCAGTGTCTGCGTCTGGGCCTGGCTATAATGTGTATTATTTGTACCAAGGTCGTTTGCTGGTCCGTGGTCAATAACTAGTTGATTGAGGCTCCCAAAAACGCACCCAAGGCAGCTATAGCAGCAGCAATTTAATGCAAATTCTTGGCACGCACACATGCCACCACTCCACTCGAAGCCAAGAGCAGATGCAGTTCCCAAAGATACAAAGATACAACAGGCAGCAGACAGCAGACACAGAGCAGCCTCAGACAGACCCACACACTGAAACGCAGCTTTGGGCGGGGCGGGGTGTATGTATTGAGAGGATTACGTAATGCACGAGCATATGAATTTATTTATGTACTCGTTTCTGAATAAAGTGTTACATATTTGAGGCTGAAAGCCGGCTTGAAAGTGCACTGACAACTATTCCAGAAACGAGAAACAAGAAACGAGAAAAACAGTTTTCGATGGGGAGCGTAAATTTCGATTTCATTCGGTCAATGGCCAAGTCAAGGCCAGAACAGAAGTCCTTAGCCAGGTTATTGTTATTGTTACTAATGACGGAGGCCCAACCCCAACAAAATCTTGTAAGTGAATATCTTTTGTTGTCTTTCTTTGATGAGTCGTCTACGCCCACGGCTGTGGGACAGTCTTGGGCTTGGCTTGCAGAATACCTTCCCTCGCGATCTCTCAGCCATTTTTCGGCTGTCTCTGGCTCTGGTTTCCTTGAACCAAACCACATGCGGCGGAACGACGAGGCGCGGAGTGTAGTCATAAAAGCAATTAAATCAAATCAAGTTCCCCCGCCAGAAAATGCACCCAAATACTCGTACTCGGATACGAGTACTCGTACAGGTTGCAAGTGTCTGCCAGGCCTTGTTTTTGCTCTCTCCTTCTTTCTCTGTCTCTCTGTATGTTTGGGGCTATATCTCTTTTGGCTTTTCATTAATTTTAAAGCCAAGTAGTTCACTTGACCAGGTAGTTGTTGGGCAGTCAGCCAAGTCCGCCACTGGAATGTGTTTGGCTTGAATGGCTGCACATAAAATTCAAGACACAACAAAAGCCAATCCAATGGCTCGGATACAGGAAAGTAATGGATAATAATAATAATGCGAGAAGCAAAAAACCAAAAATAACAAAAATGTGTGTTGACTGAATACATAACAAAATTTGCATGCACCGTGGATAGGTAGATAGATCATGTTTTTGGGATAGCTGCGGGATATCAATTTATAACTATGTTTATTCAAGTGGCAACAGATTAAACGATTATGAAAGACATGGGCAGGATGGAAAGGATTTTACATCGGTATAAATATACTAATGGAAAAAAGTGCAGATATCAGTGTAGGGTCGATTCAGCTGGGATATCCTGTTACTCAACAATTTCTATATTTTTCTACACATTTTAATACAAGATTAAACTGTTGGTATATCCCTATAGGTGGATACGTTCCTTTACAAAATTATAAACCAAAAATTGTCCAATCTTTAAATTTTCCACTTCCCCCATATCGAATGTAAAGAACCCTAATGGCAGCCGTAATTCCGTATTGAATTTTTATTTACTTCCCCAAAGCCATAATTCTTTATATAAGCTACAGCTAGCCCGCTAAAAGTAGAGCAAAGTTATCTGATCTGTGACCAGATGGAAACAGAAACCCAAAACCCAAAAGCCATAAGCCGGCTCTGCCTCAACTCATACCTTGTGCAACTGCAGCAGCAGCAACAACAGCGACGGCCACTAATTAAAAATAATGAAATCGCACAGATCGGCATTCGGCAGAGACTTGGACTGCACCTAGTCACTTGTCCTAGACTTTGACTTCTTTTGCGAACCGGAAACTTTTGGCGATCAGCGACTAAAAATGTGCTTTCCACATGCCACATGCCGCACTAAGAGAGTCGCATAACTGTGGCAAAATGCAAATTACGCAACCCAGACAACAAAACAGAAATGTTTTTCTTGGTCTCTAACTCTACGAACATATCTGGGCTTGGGGTCTGGCTTTGGCTCTGGGCTTCGGTTCCGTTCGGTTCGGTTTGTCTTTGGCTTTTATGATCGATCGGCAGCGGCGGTGGGGGGGCAGGGTTCCAGCGATTTCTGCGATTTGCTTTATGGGCCACATTTACAGCTATTGCACCGCCACCACACCACACCACACCCCACCACACCACGTTATACGTACAATTACAAATTGTTGGCGGCGTACCCGGAGTACATAAGCGGTGTATAAATTTTTGAAACCAGTTCACAAAGGTGTGAGGCGATCAGGCGGCTCCAAAGGGGTGCCAGAAAATTGGGGGAAAACCTATAGAAATTGCAACTTTGGAGACACTGACACTCGCATCATGCACCTAACTATTAGATGAAGGAGGAACTATAGGAATGTATAATAATACTTTGAGAGTTCAAGTGCCATTACAGCTCCTGTAGAAGGAGCTGTACCAAATTCTCGCTTTGTTTGTAGATCAAAGTACTGGAAATTCGTACATTTCCTTAGCCGAAACCCACTTCCATCAGCAATTTCATTCACCAAATGCGAATAAAATGGTATTTCCACCACCAAATGGGTACATAAAGTGAGGAAACTTCTATGGAACAAGGCATACATACCCATAAATATAAAACTCCACTAATTAAGCGGGGCAGCCCAAAAGAGGAGGCGCAATGCGATGACAAATTGGCCACGTGTGGCATGGCTGAGCTCGATTCTGTTGCAACTGTTGGCACAGAGCCATAGCTCCAGCCCCGAGTCGTCGCTGCCACTAATGTGTCGCTCCACTTGCAGCTCTTTTGCAGCGCCCTGGCCCTGGCTCTGGTCGAGGCCCAGAACTATCCACAACGTCTGAACATTCCCGGGGCCTTGGTGTCGCCCGGTCAAGTGCCCCATCGACAGGCCGTGCTCCGCGTCCGTCGTCCTGGACAGTCGCTGCGCCAGACGAATGCCATCCTGCCGGCTGTTACCCAGCGCATATCGTCACCCATCGAGGAGCGCCCGGTCACGGAGGCCGCCGAGGATGAGCAACCGGAGCCATATCTGCCGAATCTGCTCCGCGAGCAGCAGCTGGCCCACTCGCAGCAGTCGCAGTTCCAGCAGGCGGCCGCAGCCTTCTTGAATGGCCAGCAGGCCATCGAGTCACCGTCGCCGGTGCAGCAGTTCCTGCAGCAGAACGAGGACTCCCAGCCGTCGGCCATCCTGCCCGCTCCACCACGCTTCGCCGATCGTCCCTCCATTCCTGCGCCATCGAATCGACCCGCCGCCTTCAACGACTTTGGCATCGGTCGCTTTGAGAATTCGCAGAGATTTGGCCTGGAACAGCGTCCCACGCCCACAGTAGCGGCGCCGCCACCACCTCCTCCACCACAGCAGCAGCAACCTCAGCGAGTGGCCGTGATCCGCACAAGACCAGCCGCTGCAGTGCGTCCCGAGCCACCAGCACAGCACCAGGCGCCTCGGCCCAGGCCCAAGCCTGTCCAGCCCCGTCCCATCATCGACCAGAATCAGCTGCAAGACGAGCGGTCGGAGAGAGACCATCAGCAGCAGCAGCGTCCCCGGCGGCCAGTCGCCCAGACTCTGCGCAAGTGGCGCGACGAAAACGAGGACGGCAGCATCACCTGGGGCTACGAGAACGACGATGGATCCTTCAAGGAGGAGCTCATCGGCACCGACTGCATCACAAAGTGAGTGGCACTTGCAAATGGTTGCAAAAGGAATTCCCCACAATCCATAATTCTCTGTTTTCAGGGGCACATATGGCTACATCGATCCGGATGGCAACAAACGGGAATACAACTATGAGACGGGGATCCGGTGCGATCCGAATGCCCGCGACAACGATGAGGAGCTGCAGGAGAATGGCTTTATCAACTACGAGGAGAACCGCGCGGTTCTGCCCAATGGCCTGGAGATCGACATGACGCAGCTGGGCAAAAAGAAGTCCAATCGTCCCAGTAGCATCTACAGAAACTAGGAGGCTCGCTCCTCACAGTAGCACCTTAAGTCAAAGCAGCTCTTAAGTCTTCGTCTTATTTGTATCCATCGTATAATTATGTCCATGTTTCATTGAGTGTCAAGTGAAAGTGAAATTAAATGATTAGCGTGTATATATACTCGATTATGGGATCCAGCATTCCCGATTTCCCATCAATAGGGTCGCTGGCGGCGTGCTGGGGGCGGCAGGCGATTGGGCGGCGTAATGGAGATGTCCAGAAAGTCGCCAATGCTGAACTTTGCCTGAGCGAGCGTCTTGTTGTCGTCGATGCCTTTTTGGCCCGTGCACGTCACTCCGATCTCGCGCATTTGGAAGTGATTGTTGCGATAGTTGGGATACACGACGGCAAAGTCAAAGTATGTGCCCTTCTTGCGCGTATCTGGATTCACATCCCGCACCAGAGACGTTAGCTCATGGAGTGTGGCGTCCTGCCAGGTGTAAATCTGCAGCTCGTTGGTTGGGACGCTCCCAAACATGTACTCCGACACCGAATGGTGGCGACCCGTGGAGCAGAAAACACGCAGCAACAGCGGGCAAGTCTGCATGGAAAGGATCAATGAAAATTAATTAAGGGAAGAAAACACAATTTGCGACCGCTGGAGCCGGTCGCCAGTGGGGGAGGGTAACAAACCTTCTCGCGATCGATCTGCTTGACCTGCGTCTTTTCCTCCACAATCATTGACTCTACGTTGGCCATAGTTGCTTTGTTTTCACTTACTAGCAGCTTTTTGCTGATATTTTAATAGAAAAGCCGATTTCTGCCTTTTTTATTGAATTTTATTGAGTTTGTTGTTGTGCCAAGTGTGACCGCGGATGTATCGATCAAATATACCGTCTGGCCATCAGAAAAATACCGAAATACAGCTTAAATATACCGATGAAAAAAACACAGGCTTAACCCACTTAACCACCCTCGATTTAAACAAATGAAGAAATTGAGCTAATCCGCGGAAAAGAACACTGTTTGATAACGCTTCGGTATATTTCTGTGGGTCAGGCGGTATATTTTATTGATAAATCTTGTGGGTCTGTCTGTCTTCGGAAACTAGAGCTGTCAAACGATTGATAGTTGACCCATCGACCCATCGTTTTGAAAAAACAATCGATACTATCGTAATAGTATCGGGCTCAAATAATTATTAAAAAACCATTGAAACCTTTTTGGAACTTGTACATTGTAAAAATTAAATGCCACCTGTCAATTTGTTTACGAATTTCTCTTCGTACTTTAGAGCAGCCAATCCAAACATATCAAAAGCGCAACAACTGTAGCTCGATACTATCATGATAGTCGCAATATCATAGACCGTCGATAGTAGCGGATAGCAGCAAAACATCGATACTATCGATAGTGGCTCACAAATTAAACGCAGAAATGAGCTTGGAGAGCGGATGGGAATGAGCAACAATCTGCATACCTTGGGGAAATGGATATTATAGACTTGAGATATTGTTTGTAATATCAGGCTCCCATTAATGAAGAAACTACTCAGTCTCTGTTTAAAAGATATTAACGAAATTTTTCAGCTCACGGGTTCCAATAATAGGTATCAGAACCGGGATAACTGTACATATATATAAAACACAAAGCATATGCATTAATAGGTAAAAAACATTTCAATCTAGTATAAAATCATAAATAATGTTTCAATGGAGCTTGGAACAAAAAATTTAACATCAATTAAATGAAATATGGTATACAAAAGTCCATACGCATAGAAGAAACTTGGTTGACCAGCAACACTGACGTCACATTAATAGGCCGTTTACATTGGGGCTGCGTCATGCTTCTTTACTTCTTGCCGGAGACGCTGTTTTTTTTACAAAGGTTAAGCATAGGGCATAGTCAACATTTACGTTTTATGCTTTGGCCGTTTTTGTTTTAACCTTTTTATGTAAACAATGCAATAAAAAGGTCTTCTGAAAACTTGCCAATCTTGTAGAAAATTTATGTATCTATCGGATAAAATTATTTTTTTAGGGCTGAGAGGGCCAACTAGCTAGTGATATTAAACGGAATATCAAAATCGAGGAATATCAACGTTAAATGTTTAAAAAAAAACAATCGATACTATCGTGATAGTCGCAGAACTGTCGATAGTAGCGGATAGCAGCAAAACATCGATACTATCGATAGTGCCCTCGATGATGTGTGTTTGTGGAGCTCAGCTGTTCCAAAGGCCACAAAGTTCGACGGATGTTTTTTTGGAGCGTTGCGGAAGAACCAAATTGTCTCGCGCCTTCGCGAATGACGCAGAATAAAGGAATGCAAAAACCTTAAGTGCAGCCTCAGACTAACTAAATAGCAACAATAGCGCAGCTAGTTGGCATTGTGCACTAATTTTAACAAAGGCAGCCCCCAGCAAGAGGAACACAAGAAGGCGAGAGAGACGACTTGCAGCCCCAACGTCTAGTTATTGGCGGATAAAAACGCAGTTTCAATTATCGCAAATAGTTGCTAAAACGGTAAGCAAATACAGTTTCGTTCTATTATTTGCATATCTCATGCCAGAAGTTGCAAGAATTCCTTATGTAATGCCACAGAGAGCAGAGCGAGGAACAGCACCACAGTTGACGTTTTTTTACGTGCAAATTGTTGATGCTGCCGCAGCGTCTGGCAGCGATAAATCCCCCGCCCGCTCTCGCCCCATCATCCGACTGTAATTTTGTTTATAACAAATGCCGCTGAAAAGTCGCCAAAAAACAGAGGGGATTATGTACTACGCACTTGAAATTATTGCACCGCAAAGCTATCCTTCCCTCCCTGCACACAATATCGCCCCGGCGACGCCATCGCACATACCATCCCACATACGGCACACGCGCCATCTTTTGCCGACAAATGTTTGTTGTTATACCACACTGTGATACCCTAACAGTAAAAAGAGAATTCGCTAGAAGAGAATGGAGATTTGTGAGATTGTTTTGAAAGTGGAAGCTTTGTGAGTGAAGTTTTTCATGTTAGCTCTTTTATTTCTCCTCTATTTACACTCTTCTATCCTCCCTGATTAATAAATATCTTTAGAAAAAGAGTATTCCCATTTCGACGTGTCTGGTTACACTCACTCTCTATCGTATCCTGCTCTTCCTTGCGGGTGTTTTCCCGTTACTGTTGCTGTGTGTGCGTGAGCTTGGCGTGGGTGCAAAGTATTTTCTGTTCTTGTTGCTCTTATTGAATTTCCCCATCCTTCCGTTGCCGCCCAGCTGCTGCTGCTGCTCCTGCTACTGATGCTGCTCAGTTCCGGACAATCCGCATCCATTGTGTTGGTGGGGGGTGTGCTGCTTCTGGGAAGAGGGCTAATGGGGTGCAGCCATGACCGTGACTGACAAGCCCATAACCCCAACACCTGCCACATATTGCCTTTTGTTTTGTTATAAACTTTTCTGCAGGGGGTGTTTCGCCAGATATTTGCAGAGCGAAGGAGCCCATAAAAGAACAGCATCCACAGAATAGTATTAGTCGGATAACCGAAATGTTTGAAAGTTAGTTGGAATCGACCAGATCGGATCACTATGCAAAACAATAATCCAACCAATGCTAAGAAAATTGCAATTTCAAGTAAATTGGAAGACATTTCTTACAAGAATCGGGATGCCATAGGGTATCTAAAGCTTCGTCAGCACATGTATCCTTCCATTTCGTTATTGTTGCGCTGTCACATCTCCCCGTCCTTTTGTTGCCTTGTGATTTTGTTGCTGCTGAATTTTAAACGTGCCACAAGACCTTCGATGAAAGATGAAGATGCGTGTGGTTGTGCGGATGGGAGGTGGCTGTGTGGCAGGGCATGCGGTGGGTTTGTTGTTCTTCTCTTCGTTTTTCTGAAATTTTAATTGCTTTGAGCAACAGTAGAAACGAAGCAGCTGTAGAAGAAGCCCTTGGCTGTGACCAAAAAAAAATTCCCCAGAGCTGCACAACCAGTTGGAAAATGGAAAATCGCTCAGCCAAGGCAATAAATTCCAAAATGCAAATAAAAATTTCAGAGTTGTTTTTGGTTTGCTTGGTCTTTTCTCATCTATTTTTTACTCATCTAGTTGACGGGGCGGGACAGAGGGGACGTTGCTGGTGTGGGCGTGACTGCCTGCCAAGAACACAATGACCTGGCTGTAAATCTCGACCTTGGCTTTGCATAGCGACCTTTGTCTAAGGGGTGTCCAATGCTGGAAATATATCCCAAAGCGCCATCGTCCTGTCGCCCACTTGTCTGCGTCGACAACAGGACCAGGCACAGTGCCACTTATAAGTAGCCTGCCATTTAAAGCGAATTGCCAACGAGAGAGCATGATGACAAATCAGTGCACAGATATAATCGCAATTATAATGATTCATGGTGTAAATGGCAAAGGGAATCTTTAAGCATAACAGCTGCCTGTACTGCTTAAGGTAGTATTTTTAATTATATGTCTAATCTGAGCAACTGCTTTTTATTTAGGGGAAACTAGTGTGCATTCCCTGGGAAGTGGAAAAAATATAGCATTGAAAGGGAATCCATTCTGGGATAAACACATTCACAAAATAACTATTCCTGAATCAGAATTACCAAACGAATTATTAGCAAAGATTTTCGTTCCATTCCTCATGAAAGATTACAAAACTCCTTTTTGATGAAATAACTTTTACCGAATAAACTGATAAGAACATGACTTAAGAAGGAATCATATCATTCATCATATATGTAATTATTTATTTCATAACTCAATAAAATGTTCTTTAAAATCAGTTCCCCGATGATCTAAACCCCCTATCGAACAGTCACTACTCACCATCGAAACCCCCTTCGCCTTCCTCTCTGTCAAAGATCAATCGCCTCATGCTTTCGATTTCAATTGTCGATTCGGTTGTTGTGTGACCCAACACAATCGCCGGCAAGGCGAATCGGCGGATGATATGGGGAGTGGAGTGGGATGAGTGCGTATGTTGGGACGACGACTAAAAATATGTATTGGCAGCGTCGTTTCCTTGTCGAACGACGACGCCGCCGACGCTACTGCTGCTGACGCAAAAACGTAAATGAAACGATTTGAAAATAAAAGCAACTCATCTTTTTCCTGCACCTCTCCACCCCTCCTCTACACCACACCCCTTTACTCCAATCCCCAATCTACAATGCGATGCGATGCGACGGTCGTCTCTCGTTTGTCGTTGTGTTTCTGTTGTCCATTTTATGCTATTTTTATTTGCGTTTCGTTTCGCTTTGTTTTGTTTTCTTGTTTCTTGCACTGTTTGATTACGCTCTTTTGATACCCTTTCTTTGCGGGAGAGGATATATTCCGATTTTGAGCAGAAGAGAAAAAGAAAAAATTTACATAGGAGATTGCAGGGATATACTTATTAAAGGGTATCAGAACCTCGACTCTCACAGTTTGCTCTCCTAGCTTGGAACCTGCCTGCCAATTGATGAATTGAGTATTGAGATCCGAGCGGACTATTCGTCAATTGCCGGGAACTTTCGATTCTGTTGCAATTGCACTGACGTCACAGCACTGGCACAGCGACAGAGCACAGAGCACAGCCTTTAACTCACTTAACACTTACGGATACATATAGCGATATAGCCAGCGATATTCCATGCAATTCAATTGGACTCCGCCACAAGACCCAAGACTTGGGGTCTTTGGGGCCTGTAATCGTCTCAATTAACGATAATAACAATTTCTAAATGTTATCTTTTGTCCATTTTGTGCGTCAGTGCGGGTCTATGGATGTCAGAGTGTGATAAGCGACGACAATGGCCATGATTTACGGATGGATAGTAAAGGCCGGTTCCAACTAGTTGAACCCAGTGGAAAGATAATCCGCTTGAGGAGATCCCCAATACTGACACATGTGGCCAAAAATGTTGCCTTCTACTACTGTTAATATATATTGCTTTTGCATACGAAAGTTGGCCAAAAACTATTTTTGGTGAAGGCAGCCTTGACACTGGCATTCAGGGTAGCGGGGGGCGCCAGCACTTCTCACAGTTGCCACTGACAGGCGACAACAAAGGGGCTTGTCTCCGGGGCAAAAGAAACTCCTCAAAATAACAGAGAAGGACGTTTCGTTTTGAGTGATAACAATCCAATTTGTAAAAGTTGTTGGGGACGAGTGAGTGCCAGTGAATGGAAGAAGGTTCTTCTCACATATATTAAATATTGATATTTTATGAAAAGAGAAATCCAAGCATACATACATATGTACATTTTGAAGGTCTTTAAATGATTTGAAAAATGTGTAACATATATGGAACTTTACTCATCTAAAGCTAAGAGTTAATCTGCAAATGTTGCGCAATATTTGATCAACTTTTTCCTACCACTTGCAATCCCTGACTCTGACAACTTTCCTCCTCTGTTTGTGTTTGTGTGTGTGTGTGTGGGCTGCAGTTAACAATTTCCCAATTGAAGGTCAAGGTCTAATATTAATGCATTTGCATTTTCTCGTGAAAACCAGCGCTTTCCTTGGTTTGCAATCGAAAGTAGCTTTTGTTATTATTATTTTTTTGCATTCAATAAATAATTACATTGCAAATATTTATTTGCACAACTATTGTTTGCTTACCATTGAAATGGCGGTGCTACCCATCGATGTGTGAATGATTTAATTAACTATCGAGTCGAGTGGAGGAGTTGTCGGGTAATTACGAAAAACCGGACATGTTCTGTGAATCTCTCTTGGGGCCTCCCTCTCTATGATGCTGTGGAAGCCCATACAAAGGTTACAGTATCAAATGAAGGCTGACAAGGGGAGGGTGGTTCTTATGACTGGTTAATGAGCGGTCGGTGGGCAGCAAGTGCACAATACGGGGCCCGGGCGCTCCATTCGGATGCGAAATGCTGTCAAGTGAATTACGGGATTACGTTTAATGAGAGTCCACAAAACAAAAACCCACACGACACACACGACAAGGCCCCATTGGAGCTTACGGAAAGAAGAACCTAACCACCCATACGGTGGGTGATACGTGTATTAAATTAGGATACGCAATCGTCACCCACAGTACAGTGCGTGGCAAAAGTGTAAGAGTAGCACGAAAAAAGTAAGAAGAAGTACATACATCAAGTGAAAGCTCTCTTTGAGAATATAATTAGAAAGTTCTAGTGCATTTGCACCCCATTTTAGGGTGGAGAATGCATTTCTTATTCTTGGAATTTTGGTACAGTTTCTTTCATCTATTTCCGAGTAGTTTCTGTAAGTTAATTTTCATCAAATTTTTATCTTCTGCTAGTTCTAAGAATGTTTTGAGGTTTGGTTAACACCACCACCACCCTCCCCCCCTGCTCACCCACAAAAGAATGGTCCTTCAGTGGGTGACTTTCATTTGAATGCTGCATATTGTATGTAAAACAATTCTATTCATGGAATTCCAAGGAATTTTTCCACATGATACGCACTGTAATGGCTGGTGTTATATGCAACAACACAACACACACTCACACACACACACAGACTCGTATTTGCTGAATGATTTGCATTGGAAAAGCCAAGTCAGTTGGCATTTTACATACCAGAGAGAGGCCATGCCACACATGCGACCAATCACTGGCCTGCCAATCAGCGCCATGTGTTGCACTCCACTCTCCCCGCTTGTGCAACTCCCACACACAATGATGTGTGTGTCGGGGGGGGCATAGGGTGAATGCGAAGGTTGAAAGCAGCTTTGTGCAATAATTATCTAACTATAACAGCAGCAACAGCCACTGCCAGTGCTGTTTATTCAGCAGGATTTACGGGGCAGACCGAATGCTCAATTATGAAAAGGTTGCATACTTTCGGGTGCTCGCTGCAGCAGCACCCAAAAGACTCCCACTGCGTGCGGGGGGTGTGCGTGTGGGTTGTGTGGCTTTTCGCAGGAAGTTTTACCCCGAACAAAGGAAGAACAAGGAATTTTTGCAACCTAATTAGGATTCAATTAATTTTCGCCCTGCAGAATGGAGTCAGGTTTAATATCTCTCTCTAGCGTACACAAACCGCTTCCATGGCTGCCAAGGCTACCACTTTGACCTTTTCAGCTGCTGCTGCTGCCCGGCTTTGTGTCAGGTGCAATGCACAAGGTACTCTGGTTACAAGCAACATGTGGCATGTGGCTGCTGACAACTGCAGTCGCCGCAGCATTAAATATGAGAGGAGGCATCCACAGGACAGGACACACTTTGTGTGTGAAGCATAAACAGGCGTTCAATCAGGCGCTAGATTTAATTAAATTCCAAACTCTCGTTGAACATCAATCGTAAATAACTGTGCGAAAATATCTGCCCTGACGGATGCACAGCGGAAAAGTTTGAAATTTCAGCTGGAAATCAAATTAATCTGCTCCATCCTCCCACACAGGGATCCGCATTTGCATTTGCATTTACCCATTTTCCCACATTTCTGCTGCTGCTGCTACAGCCAGTAAGAGAAATCGCTTTTGTCCCGAAAAACGAATGGATAAAGTAAATAAGGCCACAAAAACTGATTAACTGTGGCACCCACACATACATACATATGTGCCACATTCAGCATGAAAATCCATTGCCAGAACTGGCCAATATGTTTGCAAATTCAATTACAAAATTTGCAAATTTAATGGGCTTAAAGGCTTGATGGCCGAGAGGAAAATCTACAGATGAAAACTGCATGCTTCTATCGAAAGTTTTTCTCACTGCCAGATAATTCGTTGGCCTTGTTTCTGGGTTGGATTTATCTTTGAATTTGATTTGTTGTTTCAGAAATCTTTAATTATGAATTCAACAATTGATTGTGGGTTTAATTTAATGTCCTTTCTGGCTTTGTTTGTATTTTATTTCCAAAAAAATATGGCGTATTGCTAGATATTTTTGTTTCTGTTTTATGGTTGATTTTTGAGTTTTGATTTTCGAGGGAATTAACTGAATGAAGCTTTTCTCATGATATATTTTGTTTCACTTTAGAGTACTTCTGCCTCAGTGTTCCCCTTGCTTTTCCGGCATCTTTTTGATTTGGGTTTCTTTTGCTGGATTTTAGCTATGATTTTCATTATGTTTCTGAACTAAATTTGGCTTCGGGGAATGGAATGAATCCTGCATTAGTGAGAGGAACACACAATTTAGAGAGGTTTTCCCAACATTTATTTCTCTCGAGGTAATTTCCATACACATGCAACATTATTCTGAAGGCGTATCGTATCCCCAATGGATGGGTCTTGGAAGGCAGGAGAATGGCTGAGTGGATGGATGGATGCTGATGCTGAGGCTGCCCCTCCAAGAACAGTCCCTATGGGGCACAATGACGGGCGGGACGGTGCGGTGCGGCGACCACTTGATATAATGATGACAGCAATTATGAATGAGTGAAGGTCGCCGCTGGATAACGACCGGCAGGCAATTCATCATCGTCTTGGGACCATCGCCTGAGCCTTACTGCTGGGCAGGCGGAGGACCACAACTTTTGTCTAGGCTTAAAGCAGAGCTTTCTTTTCTTGCGTGTTTTGGTGGCACAGCCAATGATGACGTCACCTCTCTCCTGCCTCTCTCCTACCTCTCTCTGTGCAGGGCAGGCAAGCAATTTGCATGCCAGCAGCTCGTTTACGCTGACTTGCAATTTTTTTTTGCCATGAGAGTAAAAGTACTTTCTCCTACTGCCAGCCCACAATTCCTCCTTTAGCTATGCGTATTCTCGCTCTCTCACTCTGGAAAGGAAATGAGAGATAGGGATCGCAGGAGCCATTCACCAAACAAAGTACACACGTCATGGGAGGCGGAGACAACCACACACACACAGGTCCCAGTCCCTGTGCCTTCACTTTCCCTGCCCCAAAAAGTAACAATTTTCAAGGAAATCAATCATCCAGAAATAGATCAACTCGTCGTTGGATTTTCTCTGTTTTTTTTTAGCCATTGTTTTTATTGTTGCCCGCGTACTCTTTTGGTTCTTTGCTTTTGGAAACCTCTCCAGCAAAAAAAAAAACCAAAAGAGGAAATATAGTACGCAACCTTCAGGCGCATAGGGGGAGTGGCTTCTTCTTTGTCTAGGTGATGGTTTATCGGTTGAATATTGAATGGTTTTTTTTTGTTTGAGTGTTTTAAAGTAATTGAATTATCGAGGAAAGAATTTTTTAGAGAAAAGAAAAAATAACAAATGATTTTAGAGTGAATAAATAATAGCAGGTGATGTTCCAGGTAGTATTTAAGTGATAAAAAGTGCTTTATAGGTTCTGCATACATATGCTATAATCCCCTAAAAAGTTATCAAATTCCATTCACAAATATGATTCAGATCTAAATATTTGCACAAATATTAATTAATTCCCTCTAATTGCAAGCCATAAAAACTTGGCAAAAACCAAAAATAAAATACAGTTTTCCTCTCATTTGGCTAATAGAACCCCGCCCCTAAGCCTCTATGAGGCAGGCTTAGTAACATGTACTAATTATCGCCTGCTGCATATCGCTGATTCATGGGGCCATAATAAACCCAAAAGAAAGAACAGAGAGAGAAAGTGAGCGGAGAGAGAGAGAAGAGAAATGTTCTTTTTATATAGCATACAAATGGGCGCCAATCCAAAAACTATGCTCGACAGCCGCCGCCATATCCATGCCATCACAATAAAATGGAGTCCCTTCCACCATCCATAAACCATCTATAGGGTCTTTTAATGGGGAGTGGGTGGAATGAGACCTCTAACTCTGACTGCCGCTGTCGCTGTCAGTCACAGGTGCCACGCAGACGACGTCACTGTTGCCATTCCACTGACGCCAGCGGTGTCGCTCGCGCCAGTTGCTCATTCATTCGTTCGATTCTTTCATTCACAAAATTCACAAAACAAAAAGAATATATATATATTCGCTACTATTAATCACCCTACGAGCTGCTCCACTCACTCTCCTTTTTGCGCCAGTATTTGGGCGTCGATTCCTCCAGTTTTCTTCCATTCTTATGGCAGGAGTAGGAGCACTTGCCGCCCTTCTGGCAGAAGCTCCCTTTCAGTGCCCTTTCCCCCTTTTTAACAGTCTATTCCTGGCATTCGGCATAACAATAAAATCAAGAGCAATTCCGAATCAACAGTGCGTCACCAGCACCAGCACTAGCCCTGGCAGCGGATTCACCAGAAGCTCTCTTTTCGCTCCAGGACTCTATTGATTAGCTTCACGTGTCGATAGTTAAACCCCCCCCAACCCCTCTCTGGCTCGTTCCTTCGCTTGGGTTTCCTGCTGGCTGACTTCACTCCTTTTCCACTGGCAGACACGTCTGTAGTTTTTTGGTTGTCGACGAGGGGTGGGTGGCAGGAGGTGCAGCAGGAAGCCATTTTCATTGTCGTAGCATGGCGTTACGTTAGAAACGTGTTACGTCAACAATGTTAACCAAAGTTTTGCCCCACAAAACGAGGCAAGAGGCAAACAGAGGCAAGCTAGAGGCTGTTTACCTTGCGTCAGGTGCTGCTAAGGACTGCACGGGGGGCGGGGGGAAACAATTTGAGGAAAGTCTGCGGCAATTGTAATGGAAATCCAAGAGGAGAGAAAGGCTTCCCATGAAGGTTGTAATTATAAATGGAATATTGTATGGTAATTATAGCTGTGGGATTTCCCCTTCTATTCATTCCCTTCCTCCATCCCCAATCCATCAATTAAACTTTTGTGTGAACTTTCCTCTCTAATCATCCTGTATATCCCTCCCTACTCTCCTTACAGCCGCACCGTAAGCTTCAGGCCATCATGTCCGACGCGGCCAAGTCCAACAATAACGCGGCGGCAGCCTCTGCCTCCGAGACTGCACCTGCAACCGCCGCTGATGAGGCAGCGCCAACCAAGGATGCAGCAAACTCGCCGACAACACCACGTGGCGGCAACAACCACAACAACAACCACAGCAAAGGCCACAACAAATTGAAGTCGACACAGAACAGCAGCGGAGGCGGCAGCATAGACAAACAGTCGCCGGATCAGGACATCTACATCAATGCCGCCGATGGACTGCCCAACCAGCATCCCTCGCTCCCGAAGGAGGGCATCATAGACAGCGACACAGAGCCGGAGGTGGATGCAGACTCGTTCGACGACCTGCCCACGTCCATCATCGTGACGAACATCCACTCGGAGGTGTTTGCTAATCCGGAGCTGAAGCACGGCATGGAGGAGCTCTTTCGCACCTTCAGCGAATCGGCCACGTTCCAGTGGCTGCGCAGCTTCCGCCGGCTGCGGGTTAACTACGACAACGCGATTGCGGCGGCCAATGCGCGGATCAAGCTGCACCAATACGAGTTCAACAAGAAGACGGTGATCACCTGCTACTTTGCCCAGCCGGTGACACCCGTGAACAACAAGAACCTCCAGCCGCCGGCACCGGTCAAACAGTTCCTCATCTCGCCGCCCGCCTCACCGCCAGCGGGCTGGGAGCCACGCGAAGAGGCCGAACCGCTGGTCAATCACGATCTGCTGGCGGCCCTGGCCAGCCTCACCCCGGGAGAGTCGCACGAGTTGCATCCACAGAGCGAGGACCAGCCGGCCATCATAGTGCACACGGCGATGGTGCCAGAGGGGGCTGGCGGAATCCAGCCCAAGGCGCCCATAGTGCAGACCAAGTGTCCGGAGAGGGCATAAGATCGCAGGGAGAGCAAGAGCGCGCAGCATCTCATCTGGAGAGAAGATGGGAAATTTGATTGAAGTATTTTTTGTAAATATTTTAAATTCAATTTGTGATTGATTTACACATACATTTAGCTACGTTCGTTCGTATGTTTGTATTATTAGGCACTCCGATTCGATTTAGTTTCAGTTACAGTTTCAGTCCTGTCCCCCCCTTGACTTGTACACCCAAACAAACCATCCTTTGCGTTTCCTTCAAAGTTTTAGAACCACATCCTTTCTTTCGTTCAAAAGTTTTAGAACCCCATCAGTTTCTTGAACATCTTTAGAGCTTTTCGAGCATTTAAGACAACGTTTTTGAGGAGCGTCCCCCAGTGTTTTGTGGAGGAGCCCTGCCAGCAACTGCATCTAGATGTCTTTTCTCTATATCTCTTTGCTTCGTCGTCGTCGTCGTACCTCTCTCTCTCTCTCTCGCTGTCTGTTTCTCTCAATTTGATTGTGTCTATAAGATATATAATGTATGAGGTATAAGATATATCGATGTCCAACCGATATCTCCCCCACCCCCTACTCTCACTCTCTATCTCTGTGTACCTTCTTCAGTGATGAGAGAACAACGCCCCGAAGCCCCTATTCTATATCTATCGAGTATATCTATATCTATATGTAAATGTTAATGTATTTTTAAGCCAGCGAAATTTAAGCACCGATATCGCATCAGATATCGGCCAAAGCATACGTATATATATGTATTTAATTGAAAATATATTCAAATTCGAAAATGAATGTTCTCAAATGTACCAAAACCTACAGAAAAACCAAAAACCAAACAAAACACAAAAAAAAAAAACAGAAAAAAACGAAAAGCTCTTTGAAAGAAAACTTTAATTGACGTGGAACTGGCGACGTGCATTCCAATGGATTTGACAATGGAATCCCTCCCAATCGACAGACACAGTTGGGCTATATTGGGAGCGGGGGCGTAGAAAACTATTGAAAACTGTAGACATTTTCAAGGTCATGCGGAATCGGATGTTCCACAAATGCCACAAAAGTACTTTTTGTCGTACTTAACTTTAATTGGGCGGAAAAGTGTGCGAAAATGCAATCGAATGGGACATATGGCAGAGCATATTAGATGGCATACCGTAGTGCAAGTCATTTAAGAGGACTCCTCGCGAATTTAAACAGTTTTAAGGGCTATTACGCATTTCGTATTGTCATACTGGCGAGGCAAAATGCGCGATAATCTGGGGAGTAGAAGCATATGGTAGGAATTGATTGGTATTTGAATGGGATATTATACGACAAATGATTCAATCCATGTATTTTCTGGGGCCTCTTCGAATCCACAACAAACAAACTGACTTAAAAACAACAAAGAGACCTGTGGCATTGGTTCTACCCCCAACCGGGGGTATTCTCCAATGCCACAAAGCTTCATTTTATTCATTTTGAAATGGAACTTAGAGCTTAGAGTACTACTAAACAGAAGGGAATGTACTTAACAACGAAATAAAAAGGATAACAAGGGTGAGGGGCAGTGCAGAACTTTGGTTTTTGATTCATTTGCTTTCGATATTCTTGAGCGGCACCATCTGCTCGGGATCGTCCGGATAAATACTATTCTGACGCTTCTTGCGACCAGCACATTGGCTGAACCACGTGTCGCCCTTGCCAAAGTTCTCGCCATCCTCGATGGACTCGGGCATCGGCTGGTTCATCGTCTCAGGGAGGAACATCACCCAGAAACCAGAGGCAATAGCCACCACACCAAAGAGTACAGCGGGAATCTTTGGATCGAAAGAGTCCAGGAGCGTGATGAGTGGTGTGAGGGCTCCCGAGAGACGGGCACACATGGAGCCCAAACCCATGGCAGAGTTCCGTACGACAGTGGGAAAGAGCTCCGCCGAGTAGTTGTAGATGACGGCAAAGGAGCCGGCGATGAGCAGCTTGCCAGCCATCACCACAGCCGTGGAGGTGGTGCTCCCCTGAGCAATAAATGCGGCAATGATGCAACAGAGTCCTCCACCCAGCATCAGTGTGGAGGTAATGGAGCGACGTCCCAGGCGATCCAGAACGAACACAATGGTTATGTAGCTGGGGAACTCCACGAGGCCCATAATGAACAGAATCAGGTAGGGATTGCCGTACAGCTTGCCGGCACTCAGCGACAATCCGTAGTACACAATGGAGTTGGCGAACCAGCAGAGGCACACATTGAGCGTCTTCATGCGGAGGTTGGGTGTCCGGAAGAGATCGCTCAGTCCGGCACTGGCCTTCTCCTCCACCGCCGCCTGCTGCTTGGCCTTTTGCACAAAGTAGTCCTTGTCCACGGGTATCCCGGAGCCATTGATACGCAATCCCTTGGCCACAATGTCCACTGCCTCGCCGGCACGTCCCTGCATCCACAGCCAGCGCGGTGACTCATCGAGGAGCCACCAGTGGCCAAGGAAGAGGCAGCCATGGAGGCCATAGATAACCTGCAGCCACTGACGATCGTGGATGAGTGCACCCCAGCCAGCGACCAGCATGATACCGCCTGCAAAGACGGCCTGCAAGAGATCACAGAAGATTAGAATAGATCTTGAAGTGATCTTTGAATCACTCCACTCACCTGGAAGGTTATGCCACAGACAGTACGCTTCGTGGGTCCCACAAGCTCCATTGTCAGCACAAATCCGCAGATATAGGCTCCAGCAGATCCCACGATTCCCAGCAAATAGCGGGCCACCATAAAGGAAAAGTACTCGGGAATGAAGGCAACGCCAACGCCAATGATCAGCTGGAAAAGCGCCGACCAGCAGAAGACTGTCTTGCGCCCAATTTTGTCCGCCAGTCCGCCGAGTGTGACGGCTCCCGTGAAAACGCCCAACATAAACACCGTCTGCACAATGGCCCCCATCCAGCGCCGATCGCACACATGGTTCCAGTCAATGGTGCGCGACGTCTTGTAGTACGTTGTATCGTAAACGTACTGTACACAGGCGATGGTCGTATTGCTGCCAAAAGCACTCGGATCGTACATCAAGCAGGACTCCAGCTCCCCATTGGCCTTCGTTGGAATGGCATGATTCAGGGCGCTCACGTTCCATGGTCCCAGAACCTGGGTGCTATTGTCCAGGCCCTCGACAAAGCAGCGATGCTCTGGCACGGCGGATACCGTAACCAAGGAGAGCATATGCATGCCTGCGGTCAAAGCGGAGAGCACTTGCAGGAAGAACTGCAGGAATTGGTATTTACCGAATTCCCCTGAAGAAAAAACGAGATTTGGGATTATAATCAGTGGTTCCATTTAAAACACTACAAGGAAATTCCCTTGTACTCATGTATATGTTGAAGATTGGTAAATAAGAAGAGCCACAGGAAAATAATGAGAGTGAAACTACGCAGCAAAAGGTAGGGTCCCGTTTGTTATTTCTTGTGCTTTGTATTTGCTGAGAGCGATACCTGAGAGAGAGTGCCGTCAAGTGCATTGATGTTGTTGTTGCTGAGTGTGGGATAGAATGAATTGCTGGAGAGCGCAACTGGAAGAGAGTGTTTATTTGCATGAGAGGAGATGAGATCAAGAGATAAGACAATTGCGACGCGCTGCACTCGAGGCGAAATACAACAAAAATGCAACAGGAGCAGGAGCTGTGTCCATTCCAGACAAACATACACAGAAACATATGTATGTTCATATGTACATATGTACATACGTATACGGCCTCTCTTCTATGGTGTCACTGCTTTGAATTGTCGTCACTCCAAAGACTTTTTTGCAATTAAATCAAGTGGAATTTATTCAATTCGATTTCAATTGAAAGGCATTGGCAAATGTCCCCAACAAGAATATGTCGTATGTGCCAGCAGTTTGCTTTGGCTTGGGCTTCCACTATTTCTTTCCCTATATGGTTTTGCATGGGTATCGTATCTGTCTCTGGAGAATGCATTGAATCGATTATGACTTTTGCTGTCCACACGATCGCTGTTGAACGAGGGCAGGGACTGTGTAAATTTCTGCTGTCTTCTACATAGAGCCTAGAGTACTATAGCCTAGATATGTATCTGACACATGAGCGCCATGGGGTCCAATGTTCAATCAGGCATTTCAATTGATTTGTGGGTTACATTTATTGATCGTTTAAGCGATCAACTCTCGACATCGATCGCAAGCAGCGCAAGAGGGAGTCCTTCACTCATGAGTAATCCCCCCTCCCACCCACCACCATTCCACCATATCTGAGCATTTCATTGATTACGTCGAGTGTAAAATTATGTCATAGGTATGGACTGTAGCGGGGCCACATCTTAATTAATCTCAATTTGAAAATTTTGCCACAATCTTTAATTAAATTCAATTACAAAACCACCCAATATACATAATCAGCGTATAATTGTCAACGATCGATAAGAAAACAAAAAAAAAACCCGCGACACTATAATAAATACTCATTGGAAATCATAGCGGGGATTATCAGAGAGAGAGAGCGACCACCAACAACCATATCATATATCAAGTATCAGCCATGTTGTGGGTGGATTTATTAAGCCCAAATCATTGACACAGTTTGTTGCCAAGTGCGGGAAGGGTCCTTGAAAAGAGCACCACATTAAGTGTGTGTAGTACACTCATAACTGTCCTGCGGTTATATATATTATTCATTAAACATGATAGCTGGATAGATCATAGGAATGCCCTGCTGGTTAAGCTCTTAAAATAGATAAGCGAGAACATTTTGTGGAAAATGATGCATAGAAACAAGATAAAGCCATGGCGATAAGGCGTGATAAGAAATTAAGCAAATCAGACACTCGAAACATACTAAAAATAGCACCACAATGCCATGCCTTAAAGTTCTTATAAAGATCTTTAAAAAAAACTCCATAGCTTGAATTCTGCTATTTCGTTTTAGTTGCTGTGTTGAGGTAGATCATGGAGGTGAGGTTTTTTATGGGCTTCCTCTTCCATGTGCATTACCTTGTCGAGCTACCAAACGATTTTCACTACCTTGGAAGGTCTCTACGGGGGGAAGTGCTTTCAAAGTCACTGTAAAAATGCTGCTAACTGGCAACTGCTAACCGAATTGAGTACCAAGTACGCCTCCAAATCCAAATACAAAGTAATTAGAGCTCCACCAGAGCCCCTCAGTGGAGGCCTTCAACAAAATAAATACACGTTGAAGAGCGAAATGATATGTGTGTGTGTGAGGTGTGTGAGGTTTAGGCCTCATATGGAGTGAGCGGGGTAGCGCAAAAACCAGTTTGAAATTTTTGCATTTTCTCAAATACAAATGTAAATATGTACATACAGTTGCGGCAGAAATAATAGCACTGTTTGGTACCACAGTCTTTATTGTTTCAAAGCCTGATCTCTAACCAACATATTTTGCCCTTGACTATAATATCAATTAGGTTTACATGTCCCCTCTGATAGAAGTGTGCTTACTCTCAAATTCCTAACGGTTCTTATTACTAAAGGCAATTTCCAAAAAAGAAGCGAAATAGGACGGCAACAAAAATAGCACTAAAATTGGTTTTTTATAAAAACTTTTACTTTTCCGAGATTTTCGATAGTTTATGATTTTAATTAAATTACAATTCGGTGTTAAGCAGACTGTGGCAAGAACTTAACATAATAAAAGTAGTTTGGGCCTTAGAAAGCACTTTAGGTTAGAAAAAAGCAACAGGATCAAAACTTTTAATCCAGAAGGAGACACCTATGTTAGGTGAATCCAATTGTTGGTTGATCATTGAGCATTGATTCGCAATGCTTAAAACATGTAACCAACAAAAAACCCATGGAATAAAAGCCGCGATACCGCCATTTCCGGTCAAACTACTGCTTGATGAGAGCATGAAGGACCCTTATAAATCGTCCACTGAGCTAAAAAAGGATCTTAAAAAATCGCCTCGGATGAGCAAAGTTAGCTGCATACAAGAACATAAATTAAGTGCCAAAAGTCCGAGGAAAAATCCATTTTAGAAAGAAAGCCATGGGTCAAAGTGAGTGAGTATGCAAATAGCACTGGAGTTGTCCAAAAAACATCATGTCGTCCGAAGAAAGTCAAATTGTTTTTTTTTTTGTGGGAAATGCTATCAATCTTAGTATGACGACACCTAATGCAGAATAAAAACCCCTGGCTAATATATAAAATCATTAAGCACTCAGGGATAAGTATCATTGCAGGCATGCTTTCGTATTATTGAGGTGGTCCAATACATGGCACAAAAGATGATGGATCAACATGTCTATATTAAAATATTAGAAAACAATGATGCTGCCTTATATGGAATAGGAAATGCCGTTGTTGTGGTTGCCATCAGGACAATGATCCAAAACAGACCAGCAAGGAAGCTCGAAGGTGGTTCGAGTCAGTGCATTTAATGTAATGTATTGGCCTGCTTAGTCGCCAGATATGAACACCATGAAAAATCTTTGCGCTAAAGCTAAAAAATATGTTTCTAATATGAATCCAAGGAACAATATTGATCTTTGGGGTATCAGGCATTATTGGTGAGAGCCATATCTCCCAGGAAAGATGCGAAAATGAGGTGAACTTTCATAACTTGACGCTGGGACACTGTAGTTGCTTCCAAAGGCTTTACAACAAAATATTAACCTTTGAATACAACTAAAGTAACCTACTTTAATGAAAAATTTGGAAGCTTCTTAAAAGTTGTTTTTTTTTTAATTTTTGGAAATCAGTGCTATTTTTGTTGCCGCCTCAATTCCTGAATAATTCCTTTCTTTTTGATAATTTTCGTTTGAAGTCTGCAATACAAACTATTGCTTTCGGAAACATTAGATTACATCCTTAAGTATATATAATAGTTCTTAAACCGTTCATTTATACCACTGTTTAAACAAAATCCTTCAATACAGAAATTTGAGTGTCATGGTGCTATTATTTATGCCACAGCTGTATATATGGGCCATAAATAATGTTAAAATTCGCTAAAGTTGCTAATGTGTTCATTACTCTTTCCTCCTCTCACTCTCTCTCTTTCTACACTCTTTGATCTTTTCCTTTCACTCTTTTTTTTGCTGTTAAATGATAAAAAACAAGTTTTGGAGGGAAAATTCTATGGAATCCCTGGGTATTAGCTGAAATCACTGCAGATATCATAAATGCCACAGCTATAATGTAGAGGCTATAAACAGTCGCTAATTGATTATGGTCTGATAGTGAATGTAAGCGGGAAGCTACATATAATACAGGGGAAAAGTAAAAGTCTCGCACAGGGAACACATTTTGCTGAGCTTTCAGTTTTGCTTTCGTTCTAATCGATCGGAGAATTCCATATTTACAATTATTGTTAACTGTTTTGCATAAAGTAATAAGCTAAATGACACACGTTGCACAATTTATACAACCACAAAGCAGATACATATAAATCAACGGAATACCCTACCCCCACCCAAAGAGCGTTCTTTATGACACAGATCTTGTGACAAAAGCCTCTGCATTGTAGACCCTCGATGATGTGGGTTTTAGTGTCTGTCTGCTAAAGATAAAGTGTTATGTACATTTGGCCAGAAGGTTCAACAAGTGTCACTGTATCCGTTCCCATCCCCATCCCCATCCCATCTCCACGCGCACACGTCTATCTATCCAACTATTCCTCTGGTTCTCAATGTCTCAGACTTCTATCAAGCTGTCATAGATGTCTGTAACCTTGGGAGATTTATTATTAATTGGTAAAAAGTGCAAAAACAAAAACTATACCTATAGTTGCAATTAAAACCGTATTAGAGGCGGCTTCTTTTGAGCACTTGACGGACAGCCGAAGCACTAGCCAGCCGTTTAGATTAGGTAGAGATTGCCGCAAAAATAATTAGTAAATTTGAATGCAGAGCAACCGGACAGATAAAAGTATAATCCTATCTGCCTTTGGATAAGCTCAGAGGCAGCTGCTGCTGGCAATGGGGACAAGTTTTTGCGGGGCCTGATAAGAGGGCGCTTTCAGCGATTGATAAGGGAAAACGCGATGCGTTATCATCACTGCCGCGCTGACCTGCCTTGCCCTCTCCTCTCCGCACAACACACCACACCACACTATTTGGCGGAGCAGATACTCACCCAGTTTCCCCATGAGGTCCTCCAGCACATAGTCCACAGCCATAGTTGGAAGGGTTCTTCGTTACTCAACAGTTTCTGGGTAGACGGTAGATATAGGTGTTCGATTTCTGTGGGTTTTCGGTTTTTAGCGAGCTGGCATCTTCCGGAGAGACCGATAGTTCTGCTGGAGCGTAGAACGTGCTCCGACGTGCTCTGGAAATGTACAGCTCGTTCGTTCCACTCTAGACTCTTTCGACCGGCGGCCGCATTTGAACTGGCAAAAAGCTAACTGCAAACTGTGACGCTAAGTTGAGCGAGCAAAACGAATCCAATGGATCTCTGCCTCAAATAAAACTTATACCACAGCAGAAAACCCTCACGCAAACAGAGAGACAGCCAGCGATAAGGTCGGCCCACATACTCACTCCACTCCCACTGATGTGGATCCCATTGATATGTGTGTGTGTGTGTGTGTGTGTTTGGAGCTCGTGAGCTTTACCCCTCTGATTGTGGATCGTAAGTGTCTCTGTGTGGTTCCACCACATGATCGCCGCCAGAGATCGCAATGATTTGATGGAATGGCAAGATCTTCTCATTAAACTACCAAAAAAGGCCTAGGCTTGTGGATCTGGGAATTAAGCTATGAGATATGTGAGCTATGGTACTCGTAAGATAATCTATCGACTTCATTTTAAGACCTTTAAGAGTGAGGGATTTGGCTTGTGGGTTCTCAAATCTGTATAGTCGTTTACTGAAACAGTCTCCAGCGAACCATAAGACCACGCTTGTGGCTCCACTCGCATAGGTCTAACAAAGATCAGAGCACTCAGATCAGAGTTTAAGTACAAATGTTAATACATAAATCTAGAACCCCTGAATAGTAGGACTACTCCATTCCCAGCAAGCCTTACTATAATAGACACTAAAATCAAAATTTCCACCGTCCCCAAATCTACACACGAATCAGAAAAAAGTAGTTCCATCCAAAATTTCCTAAATTGTTTGTAAAGTTAATTAATTTATAATTATGGCTGCACCAAATATGTCGGATCCAGTGCCTTTCTTTTATTTGGATTGGATGGCCGAGATATTGATGCAAGACACCAAGGAAATGGCATCGGAATTCGAAAGAAAAGTCGAGTTTGTAAGGGAACAAGAGGCCAGAATCCTGGAGAATGCACAGCAGGTGAGTGCTAAGGGAACTAGAGGACGAGAGTAGCTTATTATTGGTACCCCGAACTACCATTAGCTGATCAAAATTTGTCAGTTTATGGACGACATTAAGGCATGTACACTTAAACTCGAAATGGATTTGAATGAGAGCATGCAGCTCCTGGCAGAAGCGGACAAGGCAGCCTCCAAATTAGAGCGAACTTGCTCGACGTTCCCCAACAGTTGCCGGATAGAGCCAATGACGCCTCACAACTTTTTGGATCTCTTGAAGCTGGTCGCATCCACCAAGAAAATGAGCGAAGAGTGCAACAGCCTCAGCGAAGAATTGGAAGAATTTGGCAAAGAGGCAGCCGAGCGTTTGGCTCCTGCAAGTATGGTAGGATACAACAGACAGATGTCTTGTAATAATTTATAAATACTTAAGGTGAATCCATCCATAGATTTGCGAAGTGATTGATTATCACAACAAAGCCTTGCTCAGCTTCGAGGAGCAGATCGACGAGTTGGAGGGCAAGGTCACGCTGATTGCCAACGAATACGAGGATATCACTGAAGATCTGGGCATCAGCAGCCTGTCCACCACATGCACATGCGAAATGGCCAAAGAGGTTCTGGCCAAGGATTTCTGTAATGATTATATTCTGGAAAACAACCGATAGATAACATGATAATGGATTCATACAATGAATTGGATATTCACACAATGTAAATGCAAACGTTTAAAACTGAAAGTTCAACTTTTTCTGCTTAAGATTAGGTTTGTCTTTGATTCCTAGATTCTAGTTATTGGCATCGCGGAAGAAGAGCACGTCGTCTGCTATGATGCTGGTGCTTGTCTTCTGGTTGCCCTGCTGATCCGTGATCTCGCCATAGGTGATCTTGCCCTGCACCATGGTGCGCTGCCCCTTCTTCAGGTACTCCAGCACAGTGTCGCGCAAATTGGGCTTGAAAACGACCACGCGATGCCAGTCCGTGCGCTGTGCCCAGTCGCCGTTCTCATATCTGGCGAGGGGATAAGACAAAATCCGATAACGATCATATTCCATTGGGATTCAATTAAGAAAACGCTTGACAACTGTACTCACTTGTAGTTTGTGTGTGTGGCCACGGAGAATGTGACCACCGGATGCTCCTGGGAGCCGCGCAGCTGCGGATCTGCGCCCACACGACCCAAAATGGTGACCGTATTGACAGCTGCCGTGTTTTGGAAAACAATTAGTTAGATTTCATCACCTATGCAATCAGTTTAGTACGCACTTTTTTCAATTTTGGCGGGCGCCACCGAGGTCGTGGTTGAGGCACCGCGTGCCGGCAAGTGATGTCGCAGCGGTCCGGTCAGCACCGGCCGCAGCTGCAAGACACAAAAGTTGCAGCTAATTAATACACACTATGCGCGGAGGGACTCGTTAACCTACCGCATGTCTAACTTGTTGCATCATTTTTTTTTTATTTTATGCCGTTTTTTAAGCAAATTTTTAGGGTTGTTTGTGTTACCGCGGATTTATGGAACAAATATACCGACTGACCCTTAGAAATATACCAAAATATACCTTGTAATATACCGTAAATATACAGACGGACACGACCAGATGCGTTGATATTCCTCGATTTTGATATTCTGTTTAATATTACTAGCCAGTTAGCCCTTTCAGGGCCGAGCAAATAATTTTATCCAATTCATCAAATAATTTTATACAAGATTGGCAAGTTTTCAGAAGTCCTTTTTATTGGATTATTTACATATTAAGGTTCAAACAAAAACAGCATAAAACGAATTTGTCGTCGTTTTGTGGCGTTGCCAGACTCGTCAATTTTGATATTCAGTTTAATATTACTAGATAGTTGGCCCTCTCAGCCGTAAACAAATAACTTTATCCGATAGATACATAAATTTTGTTCAGGATTAGTTAGTTTTTAGAACTCTTTTTGTTTACATATAGGGTTCAAACAAAAATGGCAATGACGCAATAATGAAATTTTCTAATGTTACGTCAGTGTTGTGGTACGCAAGTATTTCCAGTATGACTGTACCTTATTTGATTTTGTATGGAAAAATAATTTTAGCAACATGCTGCCACACCACGAAAATGAAGGGAAAGTCATCCCGTACAAAAATACTCCACTTATTCTACCATAAAAGAGAGCACTCTCACACACCACGAATTGAGAGCAAATTTTCGGAAAACTTCCACAATAATTTATAGCGAGATTTTTGGCAAACTCTCCACGAATTGAGGGGCGAGTTTTGCAAAAACTCTCCACGAATTGAGAAGCGAAAAATGTCAGTATTTTTGGTGCGCTAAATGGGGGTCAATTTGAAATGTGTCTTAATATTTGGAAAAATAACCCTTGATTTGTTTTTTTGTCGCCTCAGAAACGTGACCTCAGGAAAAATTAATAATTAATAACCAGTAACCAGTAAATAACAAAACTGTTATAACAAACTGGTATATTATGGTACATTTCAGCTTTGGTCCAGTGCCAAATCGATAACGATATGGTTGCATGGTGGCGAGCTTTTGTCAGAATAAATAAGTTAGAGAATTGGTCGCTGGCGGCGCTATTGAGGACACAAAAACCGTTGAGAAAAAATTTAATTTGTAATAAAAGTTAATCTGTTCTAAAATAGTGGATTTTAGTGACAGTTTCTAGTGTTTGCATGCAACCCACAGACAATCGGCCCCAAAACAGGATGTAACTGCGACTGGCTCCTGGAAATGACTTTACCTACCGCCAATGTGAGTAAAGTATTCCATTTCATCATTAAAATGAAGAAGAAATTGTCGGCTTTGTTGGAGCTTCAGACGAGTGTCCGTTAGACGAGTTTTAATGAAAAGCTGAACACCGGCATCTGGCAACCGAGAGGCGTTGCATCCACGTCCATGAAACGGAAGAACAGAATCACCATTTTTAGTATATTTTCATTACCTCTGTGTGTTGCCACAGCAGCTGCACCAGCAATGAGCCAGCCGCCGCCCAGCCTCTCCAACGCGACTCTTCATCTTTGCATTCAAATCGAGGCGATGACGACAGTCCCAGCCGACAGCATCGCATCGTATGGATGTCGGTGCCCCAAGACCACTGCCAGCCATCGCCATCTAGCTAACCAGCCAGAGTCTCGAAGCTATTTCCAATGTGCGTCACTCTGGCAGCTCCAATACTGCGGCAGGGCGCTTGGGGCCACCACCAGTCCATCCAGTTATCCACTTGCTCACCAAATACATCGAGAGTATATCCATCCGCTGTGGATCGATGGTTCAAGTTCCTGAGGAGTAGTATTATATAGTAGATGTTGAAATATAGCAAAATACATATATGGAATGTGAGCAATTAAATATTTAATTTTAAATACCCTTTCTATTTAATATTTATCAATATCAACTTTACATTATCTTCGTGAGAGATAAACTTTCAGTATCAGTGTTTCTAAATTTATATATCTCAATTCTCATCTCTGCACCTCTGCCCTATAAGACACAGCCAACCAGCCCGCATTATCAGCCCCCGGCCTGGTCCTATCTATTCTATCCATATCTATAGAGCATTTTGTCCGTCGTTGCTTCCAGTGAGCGGCGACTATATATACATTTGTATGTGTGTACAGGGGCACACGCAGATACAAACGTAAATGTTTGTATATGTATGAGGTTGTTGTGGCCTGACTGTATACGTGTGTGTGCACTCGTATCTGTATCTGCTGTGCGAGGCTCTGGCTCTGTTCGCTGTTGCGATACTAACGAACGAGCGAGCCAGCGAGCCAGCGAACGAACGTCCCAAATGTCGGCGGCGCTTTTTTGTTGCTTTTTCTTTTTTCTTTGCGTGCCAAAAACCGAACGATGGCAAAATTCATATACGATTTATAGTGGAAACTATAAACGGCAGGCAGGCAGGCAGGCAGCCAGCATTCCATCCGGCAACTCCTTAGAGCTTGCTGCGAGACTGCGCAAAGGATTAAAGCTTATCGAACTGAGACGGGAAGGACTCCAGAATAACTATTTTACGATCTAATTAGGATTGTGGAATATATTAGACCTTGTCTTTGTTTACAGTTACCCAAAAAGTATCAAGAGACGCATTTATTTTAGCCAATAGATCTTACAAGTTAGAGAGCATAGAATTACGGACATTAAAACATTTAAATTGGGGTCTCTAAAGAAAACTGAATCGCCAGAGATCCATGGAATCCATAGGTATTCCTCCAAAGAAAAGACATGGATCGATTAAATGCCCAAAAACACTTGCGTACCCCAATCCATCTTCAACCCATTTAAGCAATCCTTGAGCCGACCCAACCCGTCACCCCATTGCAGCCCAACCATTCCCATCCAACCCCGTTCGAGTGGCTGCCTCGCCTCGAACTGCATCGCGAGCTGACTGCGCACAAAATTTAACCAGAAATTTAACAGAGCAGCAGAAACAGCGGACGGACCCCACAGCCCAAACGAATGGCTCGCATTAAAGCTTATTTTGGTGGGGGCAGGCAGTGGCAGAGGCAGAGGGAGAGGGGAGGGAGAAAGCAGCGCCACAGAAAGGAAAAAAACACACTCGCACAGAGAAAAAAAATCAAGTAGAATTACGACAAGCAAAGTGGCAGAGGGGAGCGGAAGAGGAGCCCAGAGCCAGCAGAAACGACGGCAACGACGAAGCTGAAAGAAAACAAGAAACTCCGCAGCAGCAGCAGCAGAGGAAGAACGAGGACTGTTGTTGGAGAAGGGGAGCCAGGGCAGAGGCAAGAAGCAGCCACACAAAGTGTTGGACTGTGTCTGTACGTACGACTGTTATATCTGTGTGCATGTCGGTATATCAGTATGCCAGCGCGTGTGTCTGTGTGTGTGCGGTGGGGCGAAGGTGAATGCGATGGCGTTGGTTGGCGCTGCCTGCTATAACAGCAGGCAAGACGGCGACGGCAGCGGCAACGATGTTGATGGGGAAAAAAAACGCAGCAAATGAACGACGAACCAACGAACCAGCGGAGTCCCAACAAAAATTTATAACGAAAAGCAACAACAACTACAAGAACGAGGACGACGACGACGATGGCGACTGGCGACTCTTGCAACTGCAACCAAGCACCAGCAACATCAGCAGAGGAGAGGCACCAGCGCAACCCAGGCACCAGACCAGACCAAGCCAAGAACAAGAAATGAAAATGGAAATGAAAGAAGCGAAACCGAAGCATCTATGCCCTGCTGAAAGCTATCTAATATGAGACACTTCAATAACGTGCCTTGAGATAGTTCTGGTTATCTCCTACTCCACTACTACCCGACAAGCAGTATAGGAAATTGGGAATACTCTCTCGCCTGTAGGGTATTCCCCATGAAAATGCGAACATCGCCAGAGTCAGAGTCGGAGTCAGAGTCAGAGACGCCCGTCATCGTCGCACCGACTACCCTGGGGTCTGAAGGCACACACAGAGACGAGACGGAGAGCTCAGAGCAACGTCCAATGAACAGGCAGCCAACCGACCCGACCCAACATTAAAGTTAAAGTAAAGTTGGAATTTGTGCCTCAACAGCCGCACTGTCCTCCCCATCCCCTCCCCCTGGCCATGGGCAACCTTCCTGCTTTTCGTATCCTCTCCCTCCAAGCCGCCTTTTGTAATCAGAATAAACGAAAATTCGCTTAAGCGTCGAACACAGTGGAGCGAAATGCAATGGCTCTAGCAAATGGGGTGGGGGGGAATGCTCCAATAAAATATGTGCAAGACACATCTGAGTATGTTTCGTATGATTATTAAAATGATTTGGAAATCTGAATAATATTTTTTCTTATATCCGAATAATCCTTCTAAAATTTAGAATCTAAATATAAAAAGGAATCCATTGTATCCCCCCTCTCTATGGCAAAACCAAACTTAGAAATCTATGGTTTTGGTCTTAACCTCCAACCCGTTAACCACATCGTTCCCTCAATTTTCCGACAATCTTTATCCGAAACCACATGACAAAAAACTCGTCCCACTGTCTCTCCTCTTCAAGCACTTTCGTCCGCATGGTCGGAGAGAGGGTGTAGGGGCAAAGGCAAAACGCAAATGTCAAGACAAACGAATGAACAGGCGAACCGAGGAACGAGGGAACGAGTGGGTGGCGCGCAGGCAGGCAGGCAGGCATAGCATTGAGTGCTGAGAGAGCTTCGTTTTGGGTGGGGATTGGAGTGTTGTAGGAGAGCAGTAGAGTGTGTGCGGAGACCTAAAATATTCCCCCTACACATCAGTCCTCTCGCTATCCCTACGGTTTCTACCATTCATTTTGTTGCGATAAAGGAAATACCACACCACTGTGACAACAGCACATTTGCCGAAGCAGTGGAACCAAAGCTCCGCTCCGCTCCTGCTGCTGCTTCTTCTTCTGTTTCTTCTGCTGCTGCCTCTGTTGACTGTTGAGACCGAGCCGCTTTGAGTTTGTTCCAGAAGAGAGACACAACCTGCAAAACAACGGAACCTACGGTCCAAAGTTGCACTCAGGTGAAGGTGAAGAAATCCCAAAAAGCTACATATGTCACATTACTTGCCATTAGAATGGCGGAGTGAGACACCACCTTGTGCAAAAACACCTTGATATACATATGCATTCCTTGGTGACACTAGCTTAAGCTCTCTCTTCCCATCTTACACTCTCTCTCCCTCTCTCTTGGCAATGCCCAAATGTACTCATACAAGGTGGTTTGATTTGACACTCTCTCTCTCTCGCTCTCTCAACGATCACCACTGTCACGCGATTGTAGGAGAGCGCTTTCTGGCCGAGTGTCACCTTACATTGGTACACCATGATTACGTCCGTTCTTATTCAAGCTTGGCTTTGTTGTTGCTCTGTTCCCATTTGCAGTGAAACTTCGCTGCTTTAGCCTCCACTTCTTCTGTTTACTTCTTCCACTGCTGCAGACTCTTTCGTGGCTTCCACTTGGCTCTAGTTCTGGTTCTCAAGCCAGCCGGCACATGGCCAACAGCGTTAATGACGAACAGTTGGCCATTTGCGCAACGCAACCGAAATAACAAAAGCAGCAACAACCACACCACACCGCACACACTCGCACTCGCACTCCCAGCATTTCCTTCCCATCGATCCGATGTGTGTGCGGACGGAAATACTCGTAGTAGCAACCGCACAGCCTTAGTGCTGGCTAAGGGGAGTGAGAGAGTGGGTGGACTTAAGAAGGAGTAATGCTCCCAGAGGGAGAGAGTACTCTCCCTCTATATTGATTGTTTTGGGGATTTCAGATGGGTTAAGATGGGATGAGGTGTTCGAGGAGGATCTAAAAAGGATCTCCAATAGGGGTTAGGTAAGCGGATAGATTGGCATATGTACCCAGTTATGGAATTCTTAATAAGGGATCCTTGAAATTACTTTCGTCTCAACCTAAAACCGATATTATTCCAGAAGATCATTGATATAGTGTTAACTTGGCATTTCAATCTCTCTCAACCAGTCAATAACTTGGATTATTGGATTGCCATCTGCTTGTGGACGGTTTAACGAGCCACTTCGATCGATTACAAAATCGATAAATCATCGGAGCACAGTACCCATGAATTACAGCTAAATAAACCAAATATCTGTGTGTGTGCCTGCCTGGCCCACTTTGAGTCGGTTCGATGGGGCCTAGCCCCTTCGTGGGATTTGTTGTTTCTGTTTCTGTTACTGTTGTGGCCACGCTGATGTTGTTATTGTTGCTGCTGTTGAACCAATGCCAAGTCAACTGCGTGGAGTACGAGTAGTACCGAATATATGTACTGCCATGAGATTTGTGTTTTTTTGGGACGTTCCCAGACCCGACCCGAGTTCAGGCCCGGTTCGTCATCAGCCCAACGCAGCAAACAACAAACAGCAGAGCGCAAAAAACAAAAAATTTAATTTTTTCGGGTTTTCTTTTCTGTTTTTTGTTTTGTTTTCTGATGAAAGCGAAACAGCCGATAAAAGCCGACAAAAAGTGTGTTGCCGATGCGTCACAACGGACCGAAACGATTTCGGTAGCCAACAAAAAGTTATCGATGGCCTTTGGCGTGGGTCTCAATCAGAGAGGCGCCAGAGGACTCAAGGCTGCGCAATGGGTGTGATCTTTGGGGACGACCCCATCAATGCGCCGCCGTCGCTGCTGGGTACATCCTACCAGAAGCCGCTGGCGCATTGAGAAACATCCCCGCCCCCGTTACCCCCGGCCATACAAAAAAACATCTCCAAAGCTCATCCTCATCTCCAATCCCCTTCCACAATTCATTTTAGTTTCCGTAGAGCCAAAGCAACAATAGTTTCTGTGGGTGGGTGGTTTGGGTCGCAGAGAGTCCTTGCAGTTGGG